ATCATAATCGCCATCATCATAATCGCCATCATCTCCTTCGCTGCCGTCGCCCTCAAGATCAGCCATTTTGATAACCTCCATTATAAATCATTGTCAATCATTAGCATTATTAGTCCATCATCTTAATCACCTATCACCCATCTTCGTCGCCATCAACACCATTATCACAAATCACCATCAATCATCGTTATCAGTCCTGATCATCATTTTATCAACTGGTCATAAGCCTAAGTTGAATATCTATTTTGTCAAGGAAAAATTCTTTTTTACTACAGTTATTTATTTCTACAGTAAATCGATTTCTATCATCTTAGCTCCTTGTATAAATCCAGCAGTACCATAGTCCGGATTTCTCTGTACGCCTCGTGTGGGATATCTCTGATTACCGTGCCAATTTCCAATCAATTAGAACCAATCACAATGGTAAAACACGTAAGACGTACAGTATTGTTCAGTACGAGCGACTCATACCAAAGCATACAAAGTCCTTCTAATTAGTTATTTCCTTCAATCGGAATAACTAATGCTAGTGGATTTGATTGGCGGCTAGATGAAAGCAATCACGATACCAAGAATCAAATGCACTTGAAGATGTGAAATATCCCGTTTTCTCTGAGGATTCCTCTGCCTTCCCAGAATGCCAGAATGCCTTTCTAATGATTTATCAACGATTTTGAAAAGTGAAATTTGAAACTGAGTTATTCAGCCTTTTTTTACGACAACTCTTTCCTTTAAGAGCAGGCTTCCTCCAGAACTGAAGAAAATAGAAACAGTTTTTGGTACGTCTTCAGCAATTCAAATTCAAATATCTTCACACAACAGCATTTGACGCTAGAAGTTTTGCTACCTTACCTGTAGGTTGAACGATACTTAACTTTTTGATTCCAATTCTATGTTCATCTAGAATCAAAGGTAATATTGCATATTTCAAATCGCATAGAAAAAGAGAATCAATTATGTTTATTTGAAAGAATTTATCAAAACTCTGAATGGAGAAATGTAAGGTGATTAATGAAACTCAACTCCTTGTAAAGATACTAGGTGATATGCAAATGAAGTTGCAAAAAGCAAGAGAAACTCTTTTATAGTAGTCACCATACACCATCCACGATATATATTCAAGGGGTCAATGGAACTTGGATTTTAAAGAAGAGCGGGGGCTAAAGGGAATATGTTCCTAAAATTTGATGCTCCAGCGGAAGGGGTGATCCACCTCGCTACGTATGATTGCCACTTTGCCACTGGACTTTCTGATAGGTAAGTTTAAAAATTACAGGCCCTTCCAGCAAAATGGGGAAATAATTAATAATTGTAGTATAGAATAATTTTCCCGAACAAGGACTCCAACCACGGCTGCACTTCAGCTCAGCAACGATTAACTGTATTTGGAGTGATGCATAGTTAGTGTGGTTGAAACTTCTTACCGTTAGCCAGCCCCTTTTTTTTGGTTTGCTACCGATTCCAATGCCAGACCCTACTGGAGCATTGCGAAACTATCGATTAACAAATTGGTTTCGTTTCCTTTGCTGTGACTATTGAGACAGCGAAGACGAATAGATAAACAGGAACTCCTGAACAGCAGTAATGAAAGCTTCCAATGCATAGGGAAACAGGCGTGGCAAACATGACTTTATTTTAGCTAGACAGTATTAAACTTTCAGTCCTAGAAAGGAGTGTTTTCCGGTGTTATTAAGAGCTAAGTCCGAAAAGTTATCAACAGAGCTGTTCGTGGATGACGAAATAAAACACCATTGGACGAAAAAAACACTAGTTTTGACCATTTTAACTTTATAAATTTATAAATTCTGGAACCATGGGGCAAATCACAGTGAGAAAAATGCATGCGCTTTTGTTCCTCAATCACAGCCAAATTGAGATCATCTTTGTACAGGTAGGAATACTTTTTGTAGTTCATCTTTTAAATCTGAGATGCATTAAAAGAAATACTTTATCTTTCCTTTATATAAAGGAGCATCTAATTCTTTGGACAAGAATGGTAAAATAACAGTTTTGAGTTACTCGCTAAATTAAATTATGTTTATTAGGCCTCTTGCCTGTGATAAAGATTTGCTTTTCTTGCTATTCGCAAGAAATCAGTTCTTAGCCATTATAAAGACCCGTGTCAACTTGGCTTTTTTGTCATGACGATATAAAGTACTCTATCTGCAAACATAGTGCTATTTTTCATTCAGGTTTCAAGCTAAGCACCTAATGCAATTGGAAATGAAGACTCAAAATTCCAATCGAGATGCAAGCTACTTCAAGTGCATTTACTGCAGCAGATGACAGAACGTTTTGACTAGATAATTAAATTATGGACTAGGAACTTTAGCAAATGCTAGAGTTCTGTAGCAGGGTAGTAGCATTTATACATAAACCTTGACAAAAGCTTTAGATCCTAGCTGATGTGCTACCTTTACAATTTTGCCATTTTTTTGAATTCACACTCAGGTTCTTTTTACCCCTGCCATATAAATGTCGCTAGTTTCTATATGTCCCTTAATAAAAACAGCACGTCTTCACTCTTTGATAAATAAAATCCAGTTGAGTACTTTGTTGCTGGGGGCTTATGTCGTGAAGGGTAACTGTTTTCCCGTAATTGTGAAAAGATGCCGGCCACTTATCGGGGCCTTTGATGCACCAAACACATCGATAAATCTCAGATGTTATCGTGAAGTTGATATTCTATTCAAGGCATAAGATAATCCATTTATTTGAGTATTATTACTAAAAAATAAACTAGAAAAGGTATTAACGAAGGCATATTAAGGCTTTAGCTTAGAGCATTTGCCTCATATAGGAAATTGATAGCGGTACAATGTTTATGGTTCTTCTAATGCAAGGTCTTGTATTGTACTTATATACCTTTCTCATCATTCATTATTAAGTTTACACCATTACCCTCCTTTAAGGTTTGCTCTAGACTAAGGTATCTGGCGTCTGGGGAGCTCAAGCTAGTTCTAGGACGGTTTTTTGATAAAGTTTGGAGAATGACTTCACGATTGACAATCTCCTGTCATTTTGAAGGTCAAGAATTTCCTTTTAAAATATTTTCGTAATATTTACACGACTGTAGAAATTTAATGCAAGTGTTCACCAACTTTCTCAAAATAATCTGAACCCGGGGGGGGGGGGTTTACTCCCATTATGGCCTGACAGGGGAGTCCGGTCAGGGTCAAAGAGGGCCAACGCTAAAATTTTAGAAAATTACCCTCAAATGGTAGTACTTTTTGACAAAATCTCTCAAACGGTAGCATAAAAACCGATATTATTTCCTTGGTAGCATCCATTTCATCCACTTCTGGTCCTTTTTTGACAAATTTCTTCATAATTGATTGTTGTTGATAAATCTTGTTCATTGTCTATAACAAATCGCAAGCAAAACTGAGCAGTTCAGCTATTATCTAAATTGGGCCATTTGGTAAGACCCTCAAACGGACTGGACTCCCTGTCAGGCCTTAAATGGGAGTACCCCCACCCCCGGGAATCTAAAAACCATCCAATTTCAAAAAGGGGTTCTTTGATGTTCGAAACTCCCTTTTTAAGTGCAGGCTCAACCTATTTAGCATAAACAGAGATTTCTATCAAATTGAAAATGTTGACGTTTATATCATGTTATTTGACGTAATCTTTCTTTCTATGAAAACGGGCGTTGTCAAGATTCCGTTAATTGGGTGCGCCCACTAACTTTTTAACTGAGTTCAACTACAAATAAGAATTTTTTTTTGAAAAATAATGATTTCGGCGACTACCTGTAGCCACAAAAACCTTATATGAGAGCTTTACAATATTGAAAACAAGAACATAACTGTAACAGTGAGTATTGTCTATTAAATCTCTCAAAAATTGGTTCAATATCTAGAGACTATCTACATTGTTATGTCCTTTAACTGTTTCCTTTAGGTTGTTTATGCTCGAAAACATAGTTAAACCTAACCACCATTTACAATCTTTTCTGAAAGCTTGGCTGAATACGCTGGAATATGTAGAACACTACTACTGTTATCTAGTTTGATGGGTGTGGTCATGAAAATTTTCAAATGGCAACACACCTAAATTTTGAATATGAGCAGTGAAATAATTAGTTAAAATAAACCCTGCCTTTTAGATGCTTGGCGAGCAAAACATCAAGTTGAAATTTGCTTGGCTTGAGAAGAATCAAATCTTCTTTTTATGCAGTGAGACGAATAACATTAGAGAATATCCTGGAAATTATTTTAAAGTTAAAGGCTATACATTCGTTTTACAAGAACCAGTAAATTTAAGTTAAGACTGGCTGTTCTTCATTATTTAGAAAATCTGAGGCTGAATTGTTCTTAATTTGTTTTTAAATCATAAGGGTGTAAACAGTGCAACAGCTAGCTCTTGCACCCTAGGGAGGTTTTCAGGCCTCGATTGCCAACAAAGTGAATAGCCTCGCAAAGCTTCCGTAAATGGCCAAAATTCCTCGTTTTTGAATGAAGCATTGTTTAAAATTACATTTAACATTATGTCAGCCTCAGCTTTTTTAAATTTTTTCTTGAATTTTGATAAATTTTGAGGCTCGTCTTCTAAAAAAATTTTCTTATAAAAAAGTTGCCCGAAAAATCATCAAAAAGTAGAAAGGGCTACTTTTTGGAATTTTCAAAGAGGCTCAGCCCCTTTGAGCCCCCAGCTCTTCAAGTGAAATTACTTTCACATTTCTCTTTTTTGACTGGTGTTTTATACTACATTGGGTATCCAAATTACTTTTCAGAGAGAGCCAATGATCTACTTTTTAATGATGTATACTTCTTTAACACAATTTTTCTCATCTATGCAGCTTAAATAGCAGTGTAGCGCAGAATTAAGGGTCTCCCCAAAGACAAATAGCTCGAAGTTGAGAAAAAGGAAAAATTTAGCGAAGTTTTCAGCTCAAACAAAGTCTGTTTTCAGGCCAAACGCGATTCAAAAAGGCGATAAAAAGTTATTCTTGGAAGGTGTGGCATGTTTACAATATGGAATGCTGCCATCATTGGTACAGGGGAGCGAGGGTTGTGGTTGTGCTTTCTTGCTTGTCGAAGCCTTGAATGTGCAGTTTGGGAACAAAATCTTGAAGTATTTTTGATCAATTTTCTTCGGTTGCAAAATGGCAAACGAAGCATGGTAAGTATTTGAATGTTTTTAGTGCAGGTTGTTCGAGGATATGGTAGAGGCATCTCTGGCATTCTTTGGTATCTCGATGCAAATTTGCTGCATCATCACGACATCATCTACTTTTGGCATAATGCCTTAGTAATGGCTGGGGATTTTGATCTCGTAGGTTTAATTTGGCAAGGTCATGTAGCAAAGAAAATCAATTATTTGATTGAACTGGGAAAGTAACGTGGTAGTGTTGGAAAATGGTGTAGTTTATTCATTTTTTCAGGTACCTAAAAATTTTTGGAAGATTCAAGCTATTTGCTCCCACCAGAGATATTGATCAAACTTATTCATCAATATCGTAAACCCGTCTTCTAAACGTAGTTTTTAAGGGGGTTTTAGATGTCATTTCAAGGGCGTCATTTCAAACGCCATTCATCCCAAGGCTGTTGTGGCTCCTGAAAAAGAGCCAGGAAAAAATGACCATAAAGAGGCCTGCTCATTTGTATGACATCTCCAATCACAAACCACATGTCGCCAAAGATGGTACGTAGCTGCAAACCTTGCACCCGAGAAAAATTAAAAAGATGCCAGTCTTTATCATCTAGGATCATTGGCTATGTTTGTTAGGGGTGTATCTCCTTTTCTCTAACCCCAGTCTCTTTAAGATTGCAAAATTATGGGTGGCATCTTTGTACACTGTGAGCGGAGCAAGCAGAAAATTTTTTGGCCACACCCTTTAAATTAGCATTAAATACATTTCAGAATGTTGTTTGCAGTCGTTTACCAAGTTTGACAATATCTAGGCATACTTTGCTGTGTTTCATTAAAAATCTGTTCTTAAATTGGAATTCCTTGCTTTAAGAGGCCCCCTAGACTTTGAGGCCCTGGGGCAGTTTGCCTCTCCTTGTCCCACTCTCGGCAGCCCTGTTCATATTCCATGCATCTCTTCCACAGAGGTCTGTTTGTCCTAGGCTTTTACAAATGCACTTGAAAGGGGCCCAATGGAAAATTTCCCTTTGTCCTGCCTAGCCACAGTGCCCTTGATTTGTCTGTTAGTTAGTGTTAGGTTTCAACTTCGAGCTATTCATTTTTGGAGAGACCCTTAATTCTGTACTACATTACTATTTAGGCTTCGTAGTTGAGAGAAATTGTGTTGAATAAGTATACACCATTAAAAAAAATCATCAAGCCTTGTCTAAATGTAAACATGGAAAATAGATCTTGACGTTCTATGATATGCTTCTTTCTATTTGGAGAATGGCATCACAATAAAATTACCCAGTCAACTCATCCTTGTAGCAACAACTTAAATTACAAACTTTGTAATTCTTGCACTGGATGTCAGGTACCCTGGTTTTGGAGGGTTTTTGTTTCTGAGTTGCCAATGGAGTTGTTGTGTTAAATGTTTCACCCACAAATGACTATGTTTATTTTTACATTGTTAAGACTGGCTGTGGTAGCTGGATGTGGATGACATCATCTTATTTTCAACTGTTGCATTTATGATATTTTTCTCGGCATCAATAAATTCATTTGTAGTGTAAATTGTCTTTATTTGCTGTTAATTAGCAGCCCTTTTTTCATGATATCATCTAAGGTTTTACATATTAAATATTTTTGTATAAGTAAAATATTAGATTTACATATTGCATATCAATTTATATACCAACCCATATTTTCCATTTTTCATTTCTGAAATTTTTTGGTGTTTCTGATTAGTCTCCTAGGCTACATTATTAGCCATCTACTTGTCATTAGCAGTCTCTAAGGAGTTGTATGTTTACCTTAAAAACCTGTTTTATGATCTGATTTTGTTTCCAAGTCTGTAGCCCAAAATAAAAAATCTCAGATAAAAATCACACACATCCATTGTGTCATTGTTATAGTTCATTATTTTTGCATCTCAAACAAAAATTACACAAATTAATTACCAGTTCAACCATCCATTATGGGTCAACGAACACCATAGCCACATAATATAAGAAAAAAATGAAATTTAAATTGCTGTTTACATGTCTGGCATAAAGTGCTTGATGCTGTATAGGCAAAGCTGTACATGCTGTTTGGCATATAGAATAGAACAGTTCTAAGTTAGCCTGTTCATAGATGATGATGTTGATACAAAGATGTTGAACTGGTCTTATAGAGTACTGAAGTGTGACATCATCAGAAATCTTTTCTTATAATTTCTTAAATTTGACCACAAAATATGAAAGAACAGCATAAAATATCTCTCAATGCGCAAGATCAGTTAAAAATTGGGCAAGATATGGCCAATGAAAGATTCCTAGTTTGCAAACAGATTACTGTTATACTTGCCTGGTTCATAAAGTTCATGAAGTTAGGGTAAGTGCCTGTGCTCATGTGGCCATATCTCAGCCAATTCATAATGCCTTTGACAGATTTTGCATGTTCAGAGGTATTTCACGATACTCGTTCAGGTTCTTGCATCAAAATTAGAAAATTCTTCAAAAATAGAAACAGCGACTATATGATAGATTTTATGATGTCATCACTTCAGTACTCTATTGTTAAGGGTAAAAGGAAGGGTTTGTCTTCCAGTTTTACAAAATATGGTGTTTTTGTGGTGTATTTTGCAAAACATGCTCAGTAACTTGGAGGGTTCCCCTAGATTTTTAAAGTTATTTATTTTGTTTTCTTGTGCTGCAAATGCTGGCCTAGTGGCCCCTCCAACATCAAGGTCCATTTCACTTTTGTTTGTACACAAATGTCACACAGACTACATTTTCTCAGTTTTTCTTGGCATCTCGCAGTGTTTTTATTTTTATTCAATATAATATTGTAATATGAACATAAAACATCCCTCACAATATGAAATCCCTTATAAATTGTGAGATTTATAGAGGAGGGGTTGGATGGCAACTCAGAACTGTTGGAGGATAAAAAACTCAATTAAAGTAAAAGTGAGAAGCCAATCAAACATGAAATTGAGAAATTGCATGTTGCTTGTCCCACCACTCAATTAGCCAGACTTCTGCAAATATCTGTTGTCAATAATTTTTAGAAGGAAATAACTATCTAGTCAGTAAAGAAAAACATTGTATTTTTAGTGCTGATATCGCTGTTATTGGCCTGGCTGTCATGGTAAGTTTGTATTGTTCACCACTTTTGATTTCATGGCATTTTTCTTCACAAATTTATGACTTTGTGCTTTACATAAAAGGGGATAGATTAATATAAACTAATTTATTTTTGCGATAGCTAGGTTGTTCATAAGTTATTCATTGTAATGTCAGTTTTTCATATGAAATAGCAGTAATTTATGTTGTGTATGTGGTTTTTTAAACTGTTGAACCTGATTTTAATCTCTATTGCAGGGTCAAAATTTGATACTCAATATGAATGACCATGGCTTTGTGGTGAGTTACTTTGGAAATTTTCGCAAAAGAACTAATTTATACGGTCACTTTTTTCATATAATTTGTTGTATGTTAAGTTGCTTTGTGAAGTTAAAAGATCCTTTTTAAAGAAAGAGGGTAGGAGTGAGGCAAAGAGAGAATAACAGAGGCTAAATATCTTGCGTTTGTTTGGCAATTGTGGTGCTAACCAGACTCACTGAAAGGGGGGACAAGGGGACAATTCCCTCGTAGCGCGTAAGCAAAGAGGAGCTCACTGGCAATCAGACCCTATTTGTAATATGACTCTTACTTGAATGGTAATTTTAAGGAAACATGTCATGTGTCTACTGGGAAAGTCTAACCATGCTTCACGAATATAAATCAAAGGTAAATAAGCTAGGTCTATGCATTTTAGATTAATATTAAAGCTCTTGGCCTCCCCTTTTGCCCGATGTGGCTCTAATTGGTCAAAGGTTTACCCCAAGAGCACCAAAGTTATTCATGTGTTGTTCGTTGTAAATAATCTGCGTGCTCAAGGTTCGACAGACTAGCTTGGCAAATGGAATAAAGATTAATGCTGTTGTCAAGATCTATGCGCACTGCATCAATAAACATTAAATAAAGTTGAACAGCGGGTAGCTTTTGCACCTTAATTGATTTCGAACTTATATTCCAGATACTTATCAAAATTCTTTCATGATATATATTGCACTTCCTGTCAATGGAATTTGTTTTGTAATTTTTCTCAAGTGCTCTGGATGACCCGAACCCAAAACCAGTTTTTCCTTTAACTCCATTTTGAGTGACCTTGCTATGAAAATCAGCTCCTCACAGCCCTTCTTTTTTCTTAGCGTAAACCTTGTATAATTTCTTTTGCGATTTCGAAAAGTTTTTCTATTTCACATCGAACATTTTTGCATTGTGGGTTTCTTAAATGGAAACCCCAACCCCAAATTTGATTTTTGCCAGCACAGAACACTAAATTTTAGAACTTTTGAGCACTGACCTCATAAAGTGTCATGTCATAAAACGATTTGTGAAAACTTCAAGCAGAAAATTTGATTTGCTTACAGGCAGCAGATCACGGAAAGGAGATGCATCCTACCTGACCAACTTTTTGTCGCAAAGAAAAAAGTCTTTATCTAAGTAAATGATATGTATATCAAAAAAAATCATTTCTCTTTTTTATAAATTGTGAAAGCTGTGACCGTTGGAAGCTGTGAAAGGGTATCTAGGGGGATTTAATCTCAAACGAATCTTGAATATAAAAGTAATGAATACCTAATATAGAAGTAGTGAATGGGAGGCAGCGCTAGACTCATTGCTGCTTTCCATACGAAGTACTTTCAGGGGATTGGACATTTGCTTCTTTGCGGCTCCGCTGTGAAAATCAGTAAAAATATAATGAATAAAATCATTATTTTTGGACATTATCGTGTGCATATCTAGCTATGCAGGTTAGAAAAATTATAACTGAGACACAAGAAAATGTTACTAAAAGCGAACAAGCTATTAAAGAATTTCAAAAACTTTTTGAAAATTCAGACACAGAATGCCAGTAACCTTTTTGCGCGAAGGTGAAAATTTAATATCAAAAAGTAGCGCCAAAAGTGCTCTTTTAGCCTATGTATTATATGTACTTTTGTACTTCGAAAATGAGGCTTATCTAATTTTGCAGACAGTAAGGCATGCCTTTGCACGAGCCTACGAATGCTGTTTTTGGGGACTTGCTGTTTTGAAATTATTATTGCCGATTGGAAACTTGCAGAAAATAGAGAAATAAGACGTGCAATACAATTATAAAGGGTTTTTTGTACCACAATCATGCCCAAAAGCATGCTTTAGAGTGGAAAGTTGTAAGAAATTTGTTGAAAATGCTCGCTACAGCCTGTCCAAAACAGTGAAAGTAACCGGCGAGTGCAAACTATTGCCTTTTGTTCAAGCGCTTTTCACATAAAACGCCCCCCCCCCAAATGATTGCAAAACTAACTCTGGAACGCTCAACCCTCTTTCTGCTTTCCAGTTTCTTTTACCTGTCTTTTTTCAAAAATGAAATCAACAATCTTGATCTCCCTTTCTTCCTAATCTCTCCCTCTGTTACCTTGTTAGGGCTCAGCTAAAGGCCTTTTCCTTGATATAATTGACAAAAAACGTTATCATATTTACTGTATATCAAAGTATTGAACGGAGACAACGCCCCGACCCCGGATATTTATTTCATTTCGATGGTACTTGTGATCCAATCGAAATTGTACTTAATCTTTTTTCACATAGGTATGTGCATTCAACAGAACTGTGAGAAAGGTGCACGATTTCTTGGCAAATGAGGCGAAAGGTAAGATCTTCATTGGTATTTTTCGTTTTTCTGTATGTACGGACCATTCCAAATTTAAAATGTAGCAAGTAGATATTTTATTCACAGTTTCTCATGGATCTTTTTATATTGTGGTGTAGTTGGAAAAGTTCTTATCTTTGTTCAAGCGTAGATCTGTAAGCTAATGTACGCAGGCTCCTGAGTTTTCTGTTTATTTGTTTCGTTGCTTATCGTATATGCGTCAGAAAAGAAGCCTTTGGGTGTTTTTGGCGCTGTACCTTTTATCCAGATAATGTAGTTTTAGTCTCGTTTGTTGAAAGTTTCTTTGGGCAAATTCTTTCATATTTGTATGGTTGAGTAGTCTTGAAACCTATACAATCCTGAATGGATGTTTTTGAGCTTTTGCAACCATTTCCCCCAGTAGCGGCACCAGTACTGCAAAGTTGAAGGGTGATGGTCGTCAACCACGAGGTCACGCTCTTTACACGTCATATCAGTGCTTTATATCAGGCGTATTTTCATTAGGCAAATCCTAAAAGATAGACCTGCCCCTACCTAATGCATTTTTATCAATTTTAGAAGATTAATGTGGACCTTGTTTTGACAAACGTAGTGGGTGGCTGTAGGGGATAATTACCCTCCCCCAGTCAAGCCCCTGGTGCTGTTATTGCCTTCTCCACTGCCTTCCTTAGCCTCACCATTGATGTGCCCAATGCTGAAATACATACGATCGAACTCTGTGCTGGTGGAAGAGCGGTTGATGTTGGACTTTGTATTAATGTCACCCAGCTCTTAAGGCATTTGGTCGACAGCCGGGCCAAGGGTTGTGCCAAAGGTTGTGCCAAGGGTTGTGTCAAGGGTTGTGCCAAGGGTTGTGCCAAAGGTTGTGCCAATGGTTATGACACGGTTTGTTTTAAAGTACAGTTGTACTTCATTATCTCTTATGTCTTTTCAAGCTCCAGCCATATCTCTCTGCAGCGAAAACTGCTAACGTTTCTCTGCATTGACTCTTAACTCGTCAATTGTTGAGCAGGCACAAAGATTGTTGGCGCCCACTCATTAGAGGAAATGGTACCGATGCTGAAAAAACCCCGCAGAGTGATGATGCTTGTCAAGGCCGGATCTGCAGTAGACGCTTTCATTGACAAACTTGTAGGTTTTTTGACTTTCGAAAAGTCTGTTTCTCTTTTTCCATATATTAACTTCTCATGAAATACAATGTAAAAATACCCTTGAAGTGACGTAAATAAATAAAAAGATCATGCAGGGGAGTGGGCTATTTAGGACCCTGAGCGCAAATGCAAGTTGGTCATCTGATAAAGCTGATTTTCTTTTGGTTTCCTTAAGTTGCTTCTTACATAAGACATTTGCAATATATATGTACAAATGTACGGTTTGTTTCAGGAAAAAAAGAATTGTTTTAAATCTATAACTATTCAACCGCGGTTTCATTAACACTTTCAACGCTCACTTTAAAATCCGTTTACTTTATTATTCAATTTTCGATAAGCTTGAATATTTTTACATAGGTACCCTTGCTCTCTCCTGGTGACATAATAATTGATGGTGGAAACTCTGAGTACCGCGATTCAAATGTGAGTATAAGCGACTTGTTTAAAATGGCATTATGTAACTTGGGGCAGAGTAGACCTGTGTCTAGAACATCCAGTTCTTGCGAATTCCTACCCCTAATCTTGCGAAAGCAGTCTCTCGTAGTTTTTTGCAAAATGCCTGTATCTGTAGACCTCCTGTTCAGGTTATTGAATATTTTGAAATATCTTTATGGTATTATAAATAACTAATGGATAAAACCAGTATTAGAGGCCTACCACAAAAAACACAGATTTACAATCAAGGGTGTATTTAGGAAGGTGGAGTTGAGTTCTTTTTTACCTAATGAACTCTTCCTAACTACTAATAAACTTATATCCAACTTATATAGCTAATAAATTTTTATCAGTTGGTCGGTAAATCATTAGCTGGACGGTCCATTCGCCTTACTCTAGATGAAATAACCACAAACCTTTCTTTTCATTATTTTCAAATCTTTGTTTCACTGTTGCATTTAATTCTCCTCGAACCTCTCCTACGTCACCCCACCCTTTCAGGCTGAAAGGTCAAGGCACGTAACTTTTTCACTTTTCAACATCAGGCATGAATCTGAAATCGTGCCTCAAACTCTTCGTACGAATGTAGGAACACTGGTTTCTTTTAACCGCGCTGTTATGCTGAGTATTTCTTCCATCTAGTTGCGCACTTTGAAACTTTTTAAATCAAATATTCCATTGCTCGTAAACATCAACTATTTGATAAGAACAAACAGTTTTTAAAACAGATTATAAATTCGAGTTTTTCCCAGAGCTTCTCGTGTTTCTCGAAAATTCTTTCTTGATTCATAGTTCTTCTGTATCTTATCCTTCTCTATTAATCATTTCATTTCCTTCAGAATGAATTGATTGCTATTTTTTTCACTTAAGCGCCGCATGAAAGCTTTGAAAGAAAAGGGATTGCTGTTCGTTGGAAGTGGCGTAAGTGGTGGCGAAGATGGCGCACGATATGGTCCGTCATTGATGCCTGGTGGTGCTCCGGAGGCCTGGTACCCCTGATAAGCTTTTATGCTTTTATGTGTATATTTATACATCAATTAAAGGCCTTATTTGTGTGCTCGTTTGGTACTGTAATGTTAGGTCGCTAGTAAAAAGTTTTTTAAATATCAAATTTGTTTGCGTTTGGATAAAAAAGTCCTTGATTTAAGTTATTCAGCCGCGTTTTAGGGGTGTCTAACTCAAAAATCTGACTTTCAATCGCCCAATTTTTTGCGGATGCTTTATCGCCTAATCCACTTGTTCCGTTTCTAAAGCTACCCTCTTCGAACCCCATGCCTTGAAAAAAGGTTCTTTCTAATATTGGGTAGGCGTATCGAAAAGGTTATGGATGAGTTTGGTAAGATGTATATACTACATTTATTGCCAGAAATCATTGTAGATTAACAAGGCACGTAGTTCTCAATGAAGCGATTGGTGTTTGGTATAAGGAAATCTATGGTATATTTGTGCATTTGCTTGCTATAAGACGTTTTTTTCTTCTAATTTCACAGGCCTCATATCAAAGGCATTTTCCAGTCGATATCCGCAAAAGCTGATAATGAGCCGTGTTGTGACTGGGTATGTTTCATTATTGCGTTGTGTTTTCTTGTTCATCTGTACATTGTTACGAGATCCATTTATCGCCAGTTTAGCGTCATCCACGAAAACAGTTTACAGTATTCCGCTATGTGAATATTCCTTTCTAACATGACATCATTTTAACGCTTCCTTGAAAATAGATTGGCCTAGGAACGTCTAGCTTCGTGATCACAACATGTGAGCTCTTTTAAATGAAGCATAAGGAAAGAGTCTTTGCTAAACATCCTTGAATAAACAAAAAAAATATTTCAATCATTGAAAGATTGTGACTTTACTAAAAGCAAGCTGAATAATGCAAAAGTAAGCAAACTGCAAAACTAACTGATTTTTGTAAGATACAGAAAAGAACGGGCTTATTGCAAAGCCTTTATAGGGATTGGAATTATTTCAAATACAATGATCGGGAATATATTTCCGTATAGAGGTTAACTATGAACAATACTTGCTGCCTGACAGAAAAATTTATGCCAAAATTGGTGAAGACAATTTCACCATAATCGAATGGCAATGATTTGCCATTATCTACAAAAAGGGAATTAAATGGACACTAAAATGGTTCAGGCACCTTAGCAGACTTCTAAAGGGGACGCAGTGTGATCAACTAACTATTTTGTCCTGTCAGTTTTTTTGCCGACCTGATATCAAAGCAGAGTTTCTTGCAATTTCGGACAGTGTGTCAACCCTTTCGTCAAATTGTGGATTATCTTTTGCTTCCTTTGTTTCATCTCTTGCTTTGTTTCCTGTCAGGTTGGAGAAGAAGGAGCCGGCCATTTTGTCAAGATGGTTCACAATGGAATTGAATATGGGGATATGCAGGTATCTTTAGCTAAGTTCGAAAAAGCAGTCCCATCTCTATTATAGTTTTTGCCATGGCTGGGCTTGTCCACTGTCAGTGGATCTATTTAGGAGTTTTGGCCCATTCATCACCGTTCTACTGAGCTTGTTAAAAAATATCCAAATTTTGCTTAAAATTGGATTTCTTCTTGGAAATGTAGTATACAATTTTTATCGTAAACCACCACAATGTCTTAATTAAACTTGCATTTGATTTTGTTCCGCCCTTTCTTGTTACTGGCTTCTTTGATTAATTTTGCTGAGAAATAGGTTCCCTATAGGTTTGCAATACTACACACCTGCTGTGAGCTGTGAATCAAATTTATGTTCGAAGATCGGGTCTAAATTGTCCCGATCACATTTTAGTTTCAAAACATATGTTAACAGTGTTTATGCTATGTTATTATAATAAAATTAATTTATCCCACAATATATCTGCGTAGCTTTAGCCTGATGAAACGAAAACTTGTCCACGACTTTACTTTTTGTCGTCTGTGGGCGCTCGATATGGGAAGCAATCATCTAACGTACGTGGTTGTTTTGCACAAGGTAGAAGCCAAAAAGCAGCGTTTGATTGCATCTTCTCAGTTTGTATAAGTCTGTGTTCATTGCAAGTTGAATTGTAAATGCATAATTTGTTTCGGTTGGGATATAGCACTCCCTTCAATTCATGCATTCTTATCTGACAGTTGATTTGTGAAGCATACCATTTGATGAAGAACACACTTGGCATGACTCCTCCAGAGATGAGCAAGGTAAATTTTTTTAGAATTTAAAAAAGTGGGACTATTAAAAAATTTCAAGCACTAAGTTTTATTGGATAGATTAATACTTTGTTATGATTTCCAAAAAGCTTGCCTAATTACCAAATGAAAAAACGTGACTTTCATTTCCAGGGTTTTTTTGTTTTCTACAACCTTTTTTCTACAACCAAGACTTGTTTTGATTTACCTGGCAACCAAGGATAACTGGACGAGAAATGAAAACATAAAGACACATTCAATGAAGTGTAATCTTTCTGGGCCCAGACGGAACATTTTAACTTTGAAAAGTCTAATTACTTAGTTCATCGTGAAGCGTATAGTTAATGGGAAGAAAGCACGTGTTGAACCGCTCACCCAACTCATTCTTGATTCTATTTGCAAGTCTTTGCTAGTCTTTTCTGCAGTCATCGATATCCCTAGCAACCCACGTAAAGTCACCATTCTGTTCTTGTCCAGTTATTAACCTTCCTCAAAGAAACAATGAAGGCAGAAGTGAGTTTGACAGTGACACTTGAGCCTCATTTCATTTGCCTTTCTTGCGCTAACTGACCTTGTTATCGCCATGTTTAATTGGCTCTGTAATTTTTATTGAAACCTTCTTTACCATAAAAATCTTTACAAAACGCGATTTTGTTTGTCCTAAGCGTTCGCTGGCTGCCCAACAACTTCTGAATTACCTAACTGCTTAAAAGATCAAAGCATAAAAGATGCATGGCCCCTTGTAAGCCAGCATCGGTGAATGGGCTATCATGCTAAATAATAGAGTTGTCAAGTGATGACGTCACAAAAATATATTTTCAGAATTTTCGAAATTTTTTCCAATAACCTGAAAGAGCATCATGAAATACCTCTAAATCTGCAAAATTAGTTAAAGGTATTACGAATGGCTGAGATATGACCAGATGAGCACATGCTCTGGCCCCATCAAACCTCTGTCATTTGGTCCCAGTTCATAACTTTATGAACTGAGCCAAAATAACAGTAATCCGTTAGCAAACTTCAAGTCTTCTATTGACTATAGCTCACCCGATTTTTGACAAATTTAACTGATTCTGCATATACGAGAGTATTTTATGGTGTTCTTTCATGTAATGTGGTCAAAATTTCAAAATTCTTAAAAAAATTTTTTGTGACGTCACACTTGAGAACTCTATTTAAAATGAAATGAAATGCGATAGGGTATTCTAACGGTTTGAATATCACGATTTGCTGCTCCTACTGATGCCCCACAGTATGAATCCAACAGCCTTCACTATTTGCCATCCAATATTACAACATTAATATTTAATATAAATATTTCAACTCTTTTTAGCTGGTTTATTTGAAGAGTAATGCAATGTGGATGAATTTAACATTTTAGTAAACATTTTTATTAGGTTTTTGAAGAGTGGAACAAGGGTGAGCTGGATTCATTTCTTATTGAAATTACCAAGGACATTTTAGCATTCAAAGATGATAGTGGGGAATATCTGGTCGAGAAGATAAGGGATTCTGCTGGGCAGGTATAACTCATGCATGTAATTTTATTGGTTTTTGTTGTGTAAATAGTAATTTGTTATTTATTGTATATAAAGTTCTGTATTGATAATAATGCAATTTTTATGTATTGTTCGTAAGAACATATGTAATTATGAAAGAGAATGCAATGCTTTGAGGTACTGTTACTTTTAGAAAAGTGTAATCGATATTTTCTATCAATTTTAAAATAAAAAATAAATTGTTGCCTCTAAAGTTCTCCATGCTGGAAACAAAGCGGATGAAAGACAAGGCTAGATTTTTGCATTGCCCACCGAAGTGCCTTGTGAATAACAAATTTTATTTTCAAATGCTCAATCAGTTTTCAAAATATGAATAAGTGCCGTGTCAATCTTTAAAATAAAGAGCAAAGTCGTCTACTTTGCGAAAGAGCCAGATCATGAAGATGTCCCTCTGCATGCGATCGATTGGTCCCAAGGCTAATAGGTCTAGATGTTTCTTTACCAAGTTTTATCAAGCTCTGTCCTTGTTTACAAAAGGAAGCTGATCACTTTTTAACTTCGTTTACAGAAAGGAACTGGAAAATGGACTGCGATTTCTGCTTTGGAATATGGAATGCCAGTCACGTTGATCGGTATGTTTTTATACTTCTTGATACCTAGGCCGGGCAAGCACTCTTAAATTCAGTGATTCTTACATTGCATCTACTCGAGAGTAAAGACCATTACAGTCGGACCCAGGCAAGTTCTGCTGGAAACTGAAAACATTGCAACATAGTCAATTTTTACCCGTCGCACTTGCGATAAATATATAGATGTCTTCTAATGAATGAAGTATCCATCCTTTATACAATTAAAAAGCATACAGAAAGTATATGGAGTACATTGCGCATGCTCTTTTACTCCAAAAACGGGGGTGGGTTTCTATTTCATGTTTGACAGAAGATTTGTAAGCACTTGTTTGTTTACGTACTAGGGTCATGTTTCCAGTAAACCGGATAAAAATGAATGCTGATTAAAATTTATCGAATTCAGCTTTGCGTTTCCCCTGCAAAGGCGAAAAGCAGATAAGATCAAGACGAGCCTCAAAGTTCAATGCACTCAAAACGTAAAATCCAGATGAACTCAGTGCACTTGTAAGCTTTATCTATCTCAATCGAAATACCAAAGTGCGATAACACTGTAATATTCAAAAAGTAATTCATATCAAAGGTAGCAGTCACTTGTTCGTTTTCTTCGGCTTTCACGGTTTGATGTGTAAAACATGACGGCAGTGAGTTACAGCTCGGAGTCTTTTGCGATCGCCAATCCTCAGATTTTCATATTGTTTTTATTTCTTTTCAGGGGAATCGGTATTTGCAAGATGTTTGTCTGCATTGAAGGACGAAAGGGTGAATGCTAGCAGCCAGTTGGAAGGACCCTCTTCTTCGAAGTACACTGGTGATAAGACCGAATTCATCGAGCATATTCGTAAGGTGCAGTGCTTCATGTGCATTTAAGTAGTACAAACTATCCCTATGCAGACAATCTTGATTTTTATGTCTTTCTATATAAAAGGCCATGATGGAATTCTGTTGTTTTTTAGCTAGTTTCAGTCCATGAGGTGGGGCAAACCAGCAAAAAATTCATGTTAGATAGAGGCTGCTCTTCCAATTTTTGGTCGTGAAACTTCTTTAGAACAAAGAAATACACTTTGGAATGAAAATCTGAAATTCGTTGATAAATAACGGACCCTGTATGGGCTGAATACTAAGTTTAGTTTGCATATCGTGTAGCATCTCTCCCATTCCAGGAATGACGGCTAGATAATGAAATTACAAGCAGGAGGTTGATACTACTGCTATGAGGTGGATTTAAGAGTTTTCAAAGCGAAGATCTTAGAAGCAGATTCATCCACGGAGGACCCCCGTGTAGTATGACGTTGATTTCGAAATCTTTACATTGCGATACATTTTTATAATGGTTTATTTCTCGCTTCAGGCTTTGTATGCCTCGAAGATCGTATCGTATGCGCAAGGATTCATGCTGATGCGCGAAGCTGCTAAAGAATTCAAATGGCATCTGAATTATGGAAGCATTGCGCTTATGTGGCGAGGAGGATGCATCATCAGGAGGTATGTCTTAATACCTTAGATGTTATTAAGTGCAATGCAAGACAGTTACGTATTGGTATGATAGAGAGTAAAAATGAAGATATGTGGCTGGTGTAGATACAGTGTTACATTACTTGTGTTTTCTTAAGGCATCAAAAGGGTATACATACACTGTTTGCAGAATTTTTTCTGTGAACAATTTTTTACGGTACAGAACTTAGAAATGGCTTTGAAAACAGCAAACATTTTACAATATATTGGCTAAAAGCTTTTTCGTCTGACACTCCTCAGAGCATAAAACGTCAGAAAAGGGGTCCGCAAGAACACGATGAAAAATATATACCCAGTTGTGGATCGAAATAGGCCAATCAGAAAAACGCAAGCACATGACCGGCATTGTTGTCCAATCAGTGCTGTTTGCCTATAGAAAATAACCACTGGAGTCCAAAAGAGAGAAAACGAACGCCTTCTGAATATATATATTCTGGACCAAAACTTTCACACAGGGAATATAATGTAACGAGTTAATGTTAAAAAACCAGGAGGTACACAGTGATAGCACTTTGTGTGAAAAGTAAGGCAGAAAGTAGTGAAGTAATAATTAAGTTTCAATCTCCTAAAATTTAACTATTTATTCGTGTAATGAATCTTTGCCTATGTAATTTTTTCTGACAGGAAAAAACAACATTCTTAAAACCTGGATTTGATTAGTAATAATCTCAGTGTCCGATGGTAAGACTCCCTCGAAAAACTCGCTCTGTGGAAGCAAAGCATATTCAAAGTTTAAAAATCAATCAATCAATATTTGATCAATCAATTATTTTGGAAATTTTGTTGTTGTCATTACTGTCAGTATCGTACTTTATTTCTTAAATCTAATTTTGATTTGATTTTTCAAATTCTTTCATCATTTGTTAATCCAAAAAAATTTCTGGACCTTTATTGTCTATTTGTTTTCGTATTTGATACAAAAATTTCTATCAATCCTATAATTGTTTTCCAATTAAATGTTTTTTAGGTAAATGATCCAAATAATTTGGGGCAATTTCGCTCTAAGAGTAAAAACTACCTTCTTCGATTATAAGGAAGCTAAAACTATGTTTTACAGAATTGAATTTAACTTAATTCATAAGAATTATACAAATTGTGCGTATTGTTATACGTTATAAAATATCTATATATTGTATAATTTTGTGTGATAAGTTTTAATTGAGTAATGATTTTTAACAGTCGTTTCTTGGGCAATATCAAAGATGCATTTGTGAAGAACCCGGATTTGAAAAACCTGCTACTGGACGATTTTTTCAAGAAGGAAATTGCAAAGTGTCAGGTATGACGGTTAAAATTTATATAGTGGAAGCGTCCAATCTCTGACCATATTTTTATACTCTATGAACGACTGCGCTTTCTTTTTTCCAACCGCTAGTTTTTGTTTTGTAAGTTACTTTAATGGCTTTAGTTTTCAAACCCTTAGTTAGTAAGCCTTCACGTGTTTATGAGGTCTGGACAGAACAAAACCTAATACAATTCACGTATTCATACTTGAAAATTGTATAGAAAGTAACATTGAAATATTTGATAGAGGAAGCAAGACAATGATATGTTCTTATTCTGTAGAGGAAGCCAGACATACGATGGCCATATCAAATATTTTTCAATCGGTTTGCCTTTTGCCAGCCTTCAGGAAAGTTTAATGCGTTGACACCTGATTTTTAACTCGAAAAATCTGATTGGCTTCTTACGCTACCCATTAGTATCAGTCACGTGGTACATGGTACACGTGGTACGTGGTACACACAGTGTATAATTCTTGCGCTGAAAGAAATATAGCACTAAAAGACATTTTTATTTATCATTTGTCCTGTTTGCTACATTAACTGCATTGTGTTCATGTAGTCAACCGCTCATACTGACAATAGACCATGCTGCTTATTCTTAATTAAGATAGCGTTGATAATCGGTCCTGCCTTGATGATATCATTAGTCCAATGTATAATGCAATCAATGAGAGATTAGTGATCACCGAAATTTATTGGGGTATTATGGCTTTAAGTAACAAGTCAGTAATGCTCGTCCCTGGAGTGTCAAGCTTCACAGATAAACTTCCTTTGCTGTAATTATCTAATGACCTTGCATACACTTGCAGGATTCTTGGAGAAAGGTCGTTGCCGCTGGTGCAACCCTTGGTGTGCCAACTCCGGCATTTAGCACTGCCCTTGCCTTCTACGACGGTTACAGGTATTTTTTGCATTTTCATTTAGATAGGCTAGTCTAAAGTCCCCAATAGTCTTTAGAAATAAATCGGTGATGAATAAAGATCGAAATGAATGGAGGGGTAAAGGGAAGCTCGGATCTTAATCTGTATTATTCAGTAAATAAAAATTCTGTTCACAACGTCACCCATATTACAGAGTTACAAATTTGGCTATTCAAAATTCGCAAAATATCAATCCATGATACTTTCTCATCCGTTGTTTGCTGACGGCAGCATCTGTATCTTTTAGGTCTATGTCTTAAAAATTGCAAACTGTTTCGTGTTTTTAGTAGCACATTGTAAGCTAAAGAAAGCAATTTTCATTTCTACAATTTTTGGAAATATTTCTATTAGTATATCAAAAGTAGCAATTACCTATTTGGAATATGTTAGCTGAGCCAAGAATCCAATTATGTTTGCAGGTCAGCAATGCTTCCCGCCAACCTTATTCAGGTATCATCTCTACTTTTTATTTACATCTCATATTATGTTTTAGTTTTGTAACTTAACCTTTCTTAATTTGTAAGGAGGGATGTCGTTGAAAGATTATTTAGGTTGTTAGGATTAAAAAGAAATTTTCGAGCTTATCAAATTGTGAATTTCTTAGTTATGCGTTTTGACTACCAGAGACTGGAGTTCAACCACCATCATTGCCTTAAGAACTAAAGTCAATCCAAACTCTGATTTGTTGCAAAGTCACATTGGAGTGTGATCAAAAGGAAAAAACCTATTCCTCAAAAGTTTAATTGTTCCAATCCAGGCAAAAAAACTTTTATCTCTATTTTAATTCAGATTAATACATTTTTGACACCTAGTCAATATATTTGCTTTAACGTAAGAGAATTTAAAGGTTTGGAAAATATTTGACAAAATATTTTAACAAATTCCTTCAGAGAATCAACAGCTGGCTCCATAAATCACTAGCCTACCAATTTGATATATTTGTTGATTTTACCTTCGATTGCGTGCGCCAGGCTCGTCATAGGAGACTAAAGCTCTCCATTAGATACCACATTTTATAGAATAAATGCTTTCAGAAAGTCACAGACAGAAACTTATGGTTCCAAGCATGACAATAGTTGTTCATGTTTTATAATCCATAATTCTACAACTAAAGAGTGGCAAAATATTGATATAATGAAAGCTTAACGAAAGTTTTTGACCAAAGTTTCCGATTAGGGCATATTCACTTACCTGGGTATTTGCAATTCGATATTTTTATGTTTCAGGCTCAGAGAGACTATTTTGGAGCTCACACCTACGAGTTACTTTCTGAACCAGGCAAGTTCCACCACACTAATTGGACAGGTCATGGTGGAAACGTCTCATCAACGACATATCAAGCATGACTAGGTGACGGCTACTCGCTACGCACATCAAAGTTGTGACTGAGAACAACATTGCATTTTGCACTTCAATAACACAGATGCCACTTCCTTTTATGCTAACTGCACATCAAATCTTGACACGATATTACAGTCCTGTCATAAAAAAGCTTTCTAAATTAATTTTGTATTTGGGCTGATAAAGAAATAATTCCAATGATATTATTTGCAAGGTATTTTTGTAAGCATTTCTTTCATACCTTGTAAATATTTATGAATGAGAGCAGCTCTTCTCAAACACTTATTGACAAAATTCACCAACTGGAAACATGTCAACGAAATATAAATATACATATTCGAAGTACATTAATTTCGTCATCTCAGGGATTTTCTAGAAATATATCGACCAATCAGGAATGCTATTATTATCGATTTAAAAGTTTATGAAAATAACTGCCAAGCAGTACACGGTTTGGTGTATAGAAAAGGATATTTACAAGATTGAAAATTGAGTTGTACGCTTAATGCGATCATCGGGCAACTGTTCTGAATGGTAGTTAAAAGTTTTACATGCGTTTGAATCAGATTCAATGCATGAATTCAAGAGAGGGTTTCTTGCTTCTTTATTCGTTACGATGTCTCGCTTCTTTGTTGTGATGCTTCAAATTCTGCCGATATCATTTCTGTAGCCTTGCTGTAAAGAAAGATAGCAGGCTGTAAAGAGCATTTCATTATCAGATGAACGATATTTGGTATCTACATTTGGGCATACAGTGAATTAATTTGAGTGGGATTATTTATTTACAAAAAGTTTATATTTTATACAAAATCAAAAGGTTCAGTTTGCTCGAGTAGCCTCGAGGGTTGAAAAGCATTGAAAATGACATTGCCGTGAACGTCAAAGTGAGGGGGCTTCAGTGCAATATGTGGTCCAGGGGTGCCGTTCTAAAAAGTAAGAAAGGACGGTTGCGCTTGCAACTTCAAGAGATCATACCCATGGCCTCACCCTTACTACACTTGCAATTGTGTTGGAGATTCGCCACACAAAAAAGGGTTGCCGACACAGAATTCGTCCAGTCCCAAGCGGGATTCAGCCAAATATGAACTTGCTTGTTAGGGGTTAAGCCCCCAATTTTGACACGGAGGCTGAGCCCCCCTCTTAGGCCCACTAATATGGGATGTTTTCCAAAATTTAGTGTTAAGAAAATTAACCAAAAATTTGCTGATACACTGATTTCTGAATCCCATTTACCCTTTCACCCCTACTAACCTCACTGAATAATCTTTTTGTGTTATGCAAATTATTTATTGTTGATTGGTCAAAGTGGACAATCGAATACAAAGAATTGTGGGTAATATTTATATCGTGTCCAGCTCCCAACGGCCTCCCTCGAACCTTAGGCAAGTTTTGTAAGAAACCAAGCTTTGGTCAGAGGAAAAGTAAGCAGATTGCCCACAACAAAAGTAAAATCAAGATGAGTAGAAGTTCATCTGGCTACAAAGTTTTTGTTGGGCGTATTCCCAACGATGCAAGAACAAGAGACCTGGAAAATTTCTTCAAAGATCATGGTTTTTCAAAGTGCATTCGAGACATCAACTTGAAAAACGGGTTTGCCTTTGTTGTAAGTGTTATGCTTACAAAGCTTATACTGAAGCTTTTTTTTCCTCATTCACTTTTTTTAAAATCCGTTGCAAAATTGAAGATGCGACCAAATGCATTTGCTATAAGAGCTGAACAAAGCTGAATAAACATAAACATTGATGGGCCTAAGACTTTGCATTGTCGTTCTCATTTTGTTTCACATTAGGTCAGCAAAGTGATATAAAGCAGTTTTTCAATATTCTGGTTAATGCTAATGTTTAACAGCTATTATGATACTTTTCCTGTAAGTTTTAGACACTTTCTTGTCTTTAATTGGGCTACTCACAATCTGCGCCCCAGAGCAAGAAAAATGCTTTCAATACAGCTATTGGGAAGTGCCATCATTATCAGAGAAGCTTAAAAGCCTCAAAAGTGGATATAATTGTTGATTTGTCATGTTTCCCCTTGTTAAAATGAATGATCAAGAAAGTTTGTTTGAATATTTTCAGGAATTTGATGACTATAGAGATGCAGATGATGCAGTGTATGAATTAAATCACAAAGAGCTCCTTGGAACCAGAATTGCACTTGAACATGCCAGACCAAACAAAGAAAAATATGATAGAAGAGACAGGTTTGATAGATATGGTGGAGGAGGAGGAGGAGGAAGAGGTGGAGGCTTCAGATTTAGAGATAAGTAAGTATCAGCTAATGGATAGAGATTCACCAATTTGCTGCCCACTTAGTGCAGATTTTTTTATTCATTTTCTAAAACTATTTCCAACAAAGTTAAAAGACACCCTGTTGACCATTTTAAATATCTATTTTGGTAGCTGTAAAGGATTGGGATGCCAGTCAAAGAACAAGGAATGAAGATCATCTTCATGTAGATATACAGGATTTAAGTGTAAACCAGGGTGCCTTCCATGTACTTAGGCCCAAAGATCTTCGGCGTACACCCAGGTTTTTTTGGCGTTCGGCTTCATGAAGATTAACAGGATTTAAGTGTAAAGAGTTTCTAAAATGTGCTACTAGCAAAAATTTATCCCCTACAGCTTGAATTAAGACAATTCCAGTCTTTTGCATTTCACATATTTTTCTGGTTTTTCAAAAACTTTGCATTTTTAACAGGAAAATGTCATCAGAATTTAAAGAAACTTTGTTACCTATAGCCTTTTTCCAATGCTTTTGCAAACTTACACATTTTATTATTTGTGAAGGTACGGATCACCATATAATACTGACTACAGAGTGATCGTAGAGAATTTGTCTACAAGAGCTGGTTGGCAGGTAATATATTTTTGTATCTTCACCCCTGAAATGTTTAAATCATTGTGGTAAAATGGTAATTATATATCTGAGCAATCTGGAAAAAATTGATCATGTGTTGCCTCTTGCCTTTTCTGCCATCTTGAGTTGACACCTTCATGACCATACTAGCAACATGTATATTTCTTTTTGAAGACAAATGAAAAGTCAACATTAGTAGTGACATGCCTACATTATTCCCCACAAGTGTTTCTGCCTAGATGTGACAGGAAGAAATGTTGACATATTCCCATTTCATTTCATTTTTATAATCGATCAATTCTTGACATATACCATTTAACAATTCTGCACACTAGAAGAAAGCTTATTTTATCACTCAAAACAAACTTCCTAAATTATTCCCAAAATCTGATCAATCCTGAGACCACTTTATGAATTTCAAGGAAGTGCACAAAGAATTTTACAGGAGGATTGGGGCTCATGCCTTCTGTGAAACATGCCCAACTTTGTTTAATTACCCTTGCAAGATATATATATGTTCTTTGCCTATAAAAGACTCAAAACAGTCTTTACTGAATGGGACACTATTTGCAAATGATTTTTTAATTTTTACTGGTAAGTACAGCATATTAATAAGCAGTCTCTTTTAGCATTTCTTGTATCAAAGAAAGTGAGTTATAGTTAAAATCCAGCAACAGGGTATTTGTTAGTAGCATAGTATTTATTCATCCTAACTTTACTGCTGCATGTTTCACCACATTTTTCATTAGTACTCTTTCCTATTTAGTACATGGTATGGTTTTGAAATGGGCAAAAAAGATTTATTGGTAATAAACTGGGCTAACCTAATGGAAATTTGGTCCATGGAGTTTAAGACTTAGATGAAGATGCTTTTGGTGGCATTCAAGGTCACATCATTGTGGATCACTTGGGTTGATAGGCTATACTTGGATTGGAAAACTATTTCTTATCCCGATTTTTGTGGATTAGATGAGCTCACCAGTGAATTCTATTTTCCTTTGTGGAAAATATGGTTGGCTAGCATAAGATTGCATACTGGTGCCCCCTGGTTGCATACTGGTGCCCCCTGGTAATGGTTTAGTGGTCCAAAGCTTATTTAAGCTCCTAATGGCCAATGCAATGGTTATTGGTTTTGGTAGACTGTTTGGTAATTAAGAACTGGTTGCTAGGCCTAAAAGGTGAGTTTATTTGCAGAAGCTGTCTATGGGCAGATATCAGAAGCATGCAGAATTTAGTGTTCAAGAGCCAACTTGCAAGATTTATTTTTTGGGATTTTTGTAACAGAGATTTAAAATGTAAAATTGTACCTACCCAGAAGCCAAATATGCTCATCCCTTGATTTGAGATATGTTGTCTTCTAATTAAGTTGTTAAATTCTTTCAAAAAATGTTTTTTCAATCCTTAGATAAGAACAGATTTAATCCACTGTATTCCAAATTAATCAAGTTTTTAATTTTTTAAAAGTTCTTTACAAAATACAGGAAAAGATTTGTGTGAAAATGAACAAAAACTAAGACTTTTTCACTACAATCACATTTTATGATCCTGGTTTTGCTTAATTTCTTTTTTTTCATGTAGGACCTAAAAGACTATTTTAGACAACATGGGGAAGTAACCTTTACAAAATGTCACAGAGAAAAAGTTGGAGAAGGGTATTTATCCATTTGTTTTCTTGTAGCTTTTTACTTTATATAACACCATGTTAAGTTTCTGATGGCTTGGCTTATCATATTGAAGAAATTGAATTTTGTTGGGGCAATCTTGTTTTGAACAAAAGTTGGCAAAAGTCAGTACTTGGTTTATCTGCTTTGAAATCTATCTATGAATGCAAGTGAACTTATGCTCAAGAAATTTTTCAAACTTCTTGCTCAATAGTGCATCTATGTTTCAAAACCTTGCTTGTTATGTCTTAGGGTTGTTGAGTTTGCAAGATACAGTGATGTGAAAGAATCTATACGGAAACTGGATGGAACAGAACTTATGGGAAAACGCATCAGACTCATTGATGTAAGTGTTTTAATATTTTCTTTATGCACATCAGAAGAAGCTAACTAGGGGGGCAGAATCGTGGAGTGCAGTTGCTGCTCCCAATATTAAGATAATGAAAACAAAGCAATTGTCATCAAAAAAGCAAGTAGATATAAGTATAAGACAGCCCCAATTTATATTGTCAACCATTTTTATATATATGTGTTTAATGAACCAGAATATGGACAGTCCAGAATTCTTTCGTTTCTTTGAAAGCACCAAACACTCAATCTTTAAGTTATGCTACTGCTGTTTTGCCATATCATAATTGTTATCATAAACTCAAGTGATTATTTTGATTGTTAACTAACCATACATTTTCCATTGTTAATCTTATAGGACACACCAAAAGATATGCGCAAAGGACGCTCTGCCTCCAGATCTCGATCAAGGTCAAGATCCCCAAGGAGAAGATCCTATGAACGATCCAGATCAAGGTCGCCAAGAAGGCGCTCATATGAAAGATCTCGTTCTCGCTCAAAATCCCCAGATCTACAGAAGGAGGACTAAAAATCTGGATCATCTTCAAAGAAGAAATATACTTATGGACATGAAATCTTTTAGATAAATAGTGAAACTTTTTAAAGATTTTTTGATTTGCCTAAGAGTTTTGTCTAAGAGATATTGGCAACATCTGTCAACATAATAAATCCTCATGTAAATCATTATGTGCTTTTATTTCATTCACTTTCCACTTTTCTTGTAATAAGAAGACTTACAGTAGTTGTTTCAAATGTAAATCTGCATTTTCTTTTCTTGTTTCTCTGTTTTAACACGTCTCCTTGAAAATATGAGATTTGGTTTTGAAATATAAAACCTGTCAATGACCTTTCATTAAATTCCATTGTATTATCTATGTATGTGAAGAAAAATACAAGATCAAACTAAAGTGACAGCATTCAAGCAGGAACTCGACTGTGTTGATGAAGCAGAAAGGTTGTAGACAAAAATGCTTTGATGTTATCAACTTCAGAGAAATATCGAATTTGAGAATTTGTATGCAATTATGTAAAACCAAAGTTCTTGTAAGTGAATTAAACAACAAGTATTCAAGTTGTTGTAATGAGCTTGTTCAAAAATTAGGTAACGTGTCTATGGTAGGAAGTTAATTGGAATTCGATTGTTTCTGTACGGAACTGATGCTAACATTGTATATAGATGAAATTTTTGGCCTATTTTATTGTTATTGCTAAAAATAAACATTCTGGTATGATTACGTATGCAAAACAGATAAAGTTAGCGTGCTTTTTTAGAATTTGATGAATGCAAATGCTTTGTTTGCTTCACGTTTACGCATGTTGTCGAAATTTTTAAAACTCTTGATGTACAAGAATAGCCATTTTACAGGCGCGACTCTGTGTGACTAGTGCCCAATCTACTTTCACCTCGTGGTTACCGGCCCTCGTCAGTTTTGAGGATGATGCGAAGGAGCATTCTATGCGTCAAGCACGTTCCGCACAACCGAATCGTTCCTTTTCAAGTTTTCACCACGTGCTGCCTGATCTAGAATTTCAGGCTAGTTGTCTTCTGGTGAAACACATCTATATCAGCGGTAACAGTTCGAATCTTGAACTATATTATAAAGCTAGAAGCTCTACTAACTCAAAATGGGTAAAGATAAGACAAAGAAGAGAAAGGTAAGTGTTTTACGTCGCATGGCCTACTTAAAACTTAGTTTACTCTTCACTGAAAAATGGCCGATTCGCGAGGCTCCTCTAAGTTTTCCATTCTATTTAGAACACCGCCTTTCTCAAATCATGATCAAGGCACTTAAATCAAGGAATTTTTGTCTCCGGTACGAAAGTGACAGTAAGGTTTTGAAATTTTGTCAGTGATGGTGATGGTTTAGTTAAGTTCAACTTTTTAATGTCCTCTGTATGTAAGGAATGACCTGTGTCGTTGGTCATAAAATATTTCAGTATAAACGGTTGATTGGAAAAGATTTTCAAAACGTTCAGCTAAAATAAAGTCTAATTGGAATCAAGCTTACTTTCTGAATGTTTGTTTAAAGCCTCGAATGTAGTCATTATGACATAGGCCAAGTTGTGAGACTTTTAGTAAAGCGAGGAATTGAAAGGAAGGTAGCATTATGATTTTGTCTTCATTTTTGTCTTTATCGTATATATATTGCTCTTTGAGTTAATTGTTGGGTAATCAAGTACCTGTCGTCCATGGCAGCATTCTCAAGCGTTTATATAACAGGCTTTATGTATGCCCTCTTTTTTGTGTTTGGAGGTACTTAATGTCTAAAGTGAAAATGCATGGAGAGCAAACAGAACAAGCCAGGCCTAAAAACATGATTTTGGTAATGGGTTAATACAGTTTGCTAAATAGAGAAAGTGGCTGGTCACCAACTAGGTTTATGTCCTGCCCTAGTCATGTTACTCACACACACCCTCTGCCAGTAAAAATGATATCATAAGTCCTGAATTTCGAAGTTTATGGTCTTAAATTTAGATTGAGGAAGAAGTTGTTGCCCAAGAACCAGTTAAGGAAAAGAAGAAGAAGAAGGAAAAGAATGTTGAGCCTCCACCAGTGGTAGTTCAAGAAGAAAAGCCAAAAAAGAAGGAGAAATCTAAGAAAGAGAAGAAGGTTGAAGTTGAAGTGAAGACCAAGAAGAAAGGTATGGTTTTGCAGCTTTCAAGCCAGTTAGTTTTCTATATCAAATAATAATTATTGATTTGTTTGGTATTTGTAATTTTTCTCCTGAAGTGATGATGTAATTTGCGTCTTAGAGTTGCTCTGTGAACAGTTGCCTGCTGTTCCAGTGCAGAGCATTTTCACTGACGACAAATTTGATTCTGATCAAATTAAGATCTTGCAGCAAATAAACTTTTTATCTGGTTTAGTATTTTGTGACAATAGACTGTTTTATTTTCCATTAAGATTTTGAACGCTATTATAATTAAAATCAGGGCTGGAAGATGTCCATAAGCAGTGCTGCCAGGAAATTTTTAGCATTGCAGGAAATTGTTGCTGGTTGCCAGGAAAATTTTAGCATGAAATCTCCATTGCTTGATTTTAATATGAACATTGAATCTATGTTACTCTCTTTTTATGGAACGTTGTTTTCTTGTGATATATATACATACATACTGTATAATTTTTGCTCTGCATTTGTAACAGAAATCGAAGATTAGCTTTTCGAATACAATCATATGGTATTATCAGCATCTGTTTTGACAAATTTCCAGCAATTTGGTCATGATTTCTAGCAATTCGGTCATGATGTCCAGCTACTAATTTAATTCAAGCAAGCTAAAACAAAGTTTTTTTCTCTTTTTACATTCGTCATTCTGGATAGATAAGAACATCTTAAGACAGCAAAACTTGTTAAGTAAATTGTATATAAGATGAACATGCTCCAAACCTGTGTGGATGTGTCCATTATTATTCATACTTTTCTACTGGTATTCGCATTTTTCATTACTAGCTTAATATAAAGTAAGTGTTTTGGGCTTACATCTTTGCCTCTAGCACCATCTCTGATTTAAAACATTGATTTTCACCACTGAAAAGTAAAATAGAATTTTTACATGTTATATGAGCTACTAGCTTTGGTGATAAAAAATGAGCAGCAAACACGAAACCCAGAGCAAGATGTAGGATACAATCAATATTTCAAAAGTATCTAGTTTGCTAGTACTGATATGAAATTCAATCAAAGTAATTAGAAATTTACAAATCCACTAACTTTAACCTTGAAAACAAACTATGTGTATTGTGCTATATCACATTCTCCATGATCATCTAATACAGTAATGCAGTAATACAGTAAACAAAATGATTCCTGTTCGAATCACTTTTAACAAAAATCGAGAACCGGTAATGAGTTCTTTTTTAGTATGGCAGTTTATTTTTAGGACAAATGTTTAAACAAATCAAGGAACTTAAAGTATCACTTTCAGTAGCTGGAAACATTTGTCTAAGCTTCACAGGAAACTTTAATTTTTTTTGCTGCCAGGAAAAAATCTTTTTTCAAGCTATGGTTGAAATGTATTTTGTAATACCACTCAAGATTACCTATATATACATGATATTTTCTTTCAAGTTGGACACCTTAACTTGCAAAATCGTGCAATAGGAAATCGGGATTCAATGTAAAATTTGGCATTAGAACATTTATAAAACTGATTTGTGAACTCTATTTCAAAATTTCCTCTGGCTTTTATACTATTAACTCAAAACTGTATCTTTGTATAAATGTTCTTAATAGTAACCAAAGATTTAGATACTTATTGGGTAATCAGGTAACTTTACTCCAGTTTGTGTTTGTGCAATTCAGATATTTTGGCAATTAAAATCAGTGCTCCAAACTGCTCACTTTGTTGACAAAGTAGATTTCTTCTGGCTTTAAGGAAAGGATAAGAAGAAACCAGAGAAAGAAGCATCTGACTCAGACTCTGATTCAGAGGAAGAAGATGAAGCACCCAAAAAGGTTGAAACATCAAAGCCTGCATCAGCCACCCAGGAGAAAGCTAAAGAAGAAAGCATTTCAGATGAAGAAAGTGAAAGTGATGAGGAAATGGCCACAGAGCCTGTGAAAAAGCCGTAACCCAAAATGCCAAGAAAGACAGTGATGAAAGCTCAGATGACAGTTCAGATGATGAAATGGAAGAAGAGCAAGCAAAGAAGGCACCAAAGAAAGTTGAAAAAGATGATGATTCTTCGTCTGAAGATAGTGATGATGAGGAAGAGGATGACAAAGAGGAAAAAAGTGCCCCAAAAGTTAATGGTAAAAAGGCAGAGAAGGCTCCAGCTGATGATGAATCTTCAAGCGAAGAAGAGGAGGAAGAGGAAGCCAAAAAACCTTCTAAGAAACCTTCAACTGAGGGTGAAAATGGTATTATTTTTAAGTTAATTGCTCTTTTGGAAGAATCATGTTTTGTCCAGTCTATTGTATGTCCCTCGAAAAGTTTTTTCAATGTTTTAGCAATGAAAATATACAGCGCAAAAACACTTCAGTTTCCTTCTCCAAGTTGTGCAATATTCAGCGGTTGTTATTGATGTCTTTAGTTACCAAATGGAAAATCACATATAGATTTTTTTCAATCAACAAGATGCAGTTTTTATGTATAAAATTATTTTTATATTTCATTTTCCTTGTCTAAGGCATAATTACATTTTTTGATGTAAAGCAATCATATCCAAGGATGAGGTTTTGACCCGAAACGATAATGTAATTTGGGTCCTAGATTTGCCTTATGAACAGTTGTGATAAAAGATTCTGATGAAAAATTCTTCTGATAGAAAATAGAATGCATATATGTATAGGTTTTATTTTTCAAAGTTTTATAGTTGACATTTCATCCAACTCTTTTTTAGTATTTACAGCATTTTATTGGAAATTTTTATATGAATAGATTAATTGTAAATTACTTGCAAAGCATTGAATTGAAGGCTTCATCAGAATTATTATTGTTTTTTCTTTGTAGTATTACCATTTTGTTTAAATTTATTTCAGGATCTGCTCAAAAATCTGTTTTTATTGGTAATTTACCTTGGAGTGCTACTGGAGATAGCCTTAAAGAGTTCTTTGAGGAAAACGAAATTAGTGCTGTAGGTGCTAGGGTTATCATGAATGAGGAAGGGCGATCCAAAGGGTAAGTTGAGTGACATGGGCTTATATTACTTTAAATTTCATCATCATTTTATCTGCCATTTTCATATATAGCTGATCCTTACATGCCACCAGTTGTGGTAGTGTCAGTAAATGTATCTGTATCGTGAATGTAACTCTGAAGAACTACAACAGTTGACATCCTCTTGCAGTTTTGGATATGCAGATTTCAGTTGTGAAGAAGATGCCAAAGCAGCTGTTGAACTCAATGGAAGTGAGGTTGATGGAAGGAACATAAGAATTGATTTTGCAAACTCCACACCAAAAAGGCAGGGTTCATCCAGAGGAACACCAAGAGGTCGTGACAGAGGCGGTATGTTCATTTTGCCTTAAAAACCTGCTTCTAGACCAGCAAGGCACTTAGATTCATAGAGTATTCATAAGCAACAATAGTTTGATATTAATTAGATCTTCTAGCTTCCTTAGAGCATTGGTCATTTTGTTTTGATTATTTTTCTTCAGGACGAGGTGGACGTGGTGGACGTGGTGGCTCCCCGTGGAGTGGTGGACGTGGTGACTTCAATGAGCCATCCAATACTTTATTTGTTGGTAATTTGTCATTTGATGCCACAGAGAACTCCTTGTCAAGTGTTTTCAAAGGCTGCAAAGATGTAAGGATAGCAAAAGACAGGGAAACTGGAAAACCAAGAGGGTAAGCTCAATTCTATGAATTTAGTTATTTTCAGAGAATTAGTTTTTTCTATTTGTTCAGTTGAGGCAATGACCTATGGAAATGGCCATCCTCTTCACAAAATTGGCTTGCAAATTTGGCAGAATTTAAACACTTGTCACCTGATTTCATTACCGCAAGTGTTATGTCATTGTCTCAAATTTTTACTACATCTCCTTCGTCTGTGAAAAATCAAGTTTGCTAAAGAGACCTTGAGAAAATAGTAGTACCTTGAGAAAATATTATGATTTCTCATAACCTCAAAGTTTTTTTAAGAATTTATATTTGTTGGAATAAATGTCATAGGAAAGAAAACAAATCCTTGGTTTTGTTTTTAAGGCTTGTAAATTTGGGCATGTTTCTGTGGTGTGAATAATATTACTGAAGCCAAGTTAAAGTTGCTTTTATGATGAATTTGGCCAGGTCTCACTTTGAGAATCATTAAGACTGATCAATATATCTCTCAATCAATTTGGAATCATTTATGACACACACACTGCACAAGAAAATCAGCACAAAAGAATTAAACATGCATGTAACCAGTCAGCTTTTGAAATAGATAGTATCAAACGTGAAAATTGATTAAAAAGTTGGTTCTGATGTAAACATTTTTTCCCTGGATGTGAACAAAGTTTTTGCTTTTTTGAATATTTTCCAGGGCAGTTTACTTTCATCCATATAACACTGTCAATGCCTGGCAAACAGGATTGATTGGAGTGATGATGTAATTTGCGTCTGAGTATCATTCTGTGAGCGGTTGCCTGCCACTCTTCAACAGGATGTTGCCTTGTTGACAGCATAACATCTGACCAAACTTTGAATGTTTGCAACAAAACTTTTTATGTGTACCATTGTCATCAATCCACTTCAAACACAGAGCATCATAAAACGATGAAAGTCGCATATTCCCAGAATTTTCAAATTTTGTCCTTTTTTGAAAAGATACTTCAGCAAATATGAACCACCCTCTTGCTGATGTAGCATAATTTTATTTCCCTTACATGTGGAAATAACAAGCAGATATTTGGTGATGGAAATTTATGTTCTGGGAAGAAATTGAGTCATTATGAGTCTTTAATTACAGGTGCAATAAAATGCAAAATCAAGAGGCATTGCCAGTCTCATTTCACAGACCCTGTTATGCAAAAATGTGCTATCAGTCACATTGACTTTCACTCTATGAATTTTGATGCTTGAATTTTAATGCAAGATTTTTTGGAGAAAAAAATCTTATTGTCCACTTATCAGGGGAGTCGGCAGCTGTTCTTGATCAAAACATTTTAAACAAGAATTGAACTTCTGTTTTCTTTCACAAAAACATATTTGATGAGATGATGTTGCTAAGAATTTAATACCCAAAATCAACCTGTAGCTGTCATCAATAAAGACACCAGGTATAGAAATGATGAAATCTGATGTGCAGGCAAAGGTTTTTAGAAACACTTGCAATGAGAGCTGAGGACTTCTCTTTGCGGCATTTCAAAATATATATATGAAAAGAAATGATAGTAAAGAGATTGCAACTCCAGAATATTTTCAAATATTCTTCCAGGTTTAGCCTTAGGATTTTTTTAGCATCATTAAATTTAAATTACAATCGTAATTTTTATATTTTTTATTTACGGGTTGTAGTTGCTTCCAGCAAATTTTAGAAAGGTAGCCATAATAAACAGTTTTCTGTAAATGTCTTTTGGACTGCCAAGTTAAAATTGAATATATAATTGATAAGTATGATGATTAATAAACTCGATCTTTTCAGGTTTGGTTATGTTGAGTACGATGATGTATCCTCCGCACAGGCAGCACAAAAGAAAGCTGACGGAAAAGAGGTCGATGGAAGGAATATACGAGTAAATTTCGCAAAAGCAAGAGATGGTGATAGTGGCGGAAGAGGTGGTTTCCGTGGCGGACGCGGTGGACGTGGAGGTCGTGGAGGACGTGGAAGAGGTAAGGCGGATATTTCACAGTAGCTAATTTTGTTTTATTGCTAGTTTTGAAGTATCGTATGAATTTTTATCGGTCCTAAAATTCATTAAACTAAGAATTTCAAAACTGAGTTTAGTAAAAGAAGAGAGCAATCAAACTTTGTTTTTCTTAGTATATTTCCTCGCAGTTCTATGTTGTAGATTTCATTTACATTTTTAATTATTTTAGCACAGTAGCCCTGCCAGTCTCGAGAACTGCTTTTCAGGAGGCCTTGGCAAGTTGAAAATTGTCCATTCCATAACGGTACCATATCCTATTAGCTATTTTGATAACAATAGCTGCTAGCTTGGGGCCTTCAACACCATTTGCATGCATCTCACAACAATCCCTAAAAAGCTCCTTATCCCAGTGTCAGTGCTTAAGTTTCTCTTTCATGACTTGGTGCTTCTTTGCTTCAGATTTAAGCGCCCTTGTATTATGTAAATGATTACAATTAAAAGGAAGCAGTAAATTTTTTTTGTTTCAAACATGTTATAGAAGTCGAAAATGCTATCATAACATGTGTTCCCCTCTTACTCGATATTTCTCTCTCTTTTCAGGACGTGGTGGTACTCCAAACTCAGCCCAAGCAGCCCATAAAGGATCAATCCAAAAATTCTCGGGGACCAAAATTTCGTTTGACGGCTCTGATTCGGACTAACACTTTTTGATGATAAATCGCAACGTACAAAGTTTAATTCCTTGAAGAGATCAGAGATGATTTCTTCATACTTAACCACAACGCACCGTCTAAAGGCATCTTTGGCAGCAAACGCTGTCGTTGTGGACTTCCTCCTGGTGCTGAGCTACGTGACGCAAGCATTGACTGTATACATTCCCTCGTCACATTGATGGCGAAGGGTTTACTTGGTTTTAGAGTTTTATCTTTTTGTGGTTTTGAGTATAGATGCGTCCGGTATACTCGAGATAATCCGGAATTTTAGGAATCAACGTTACACCCGGTCGCTATTTCGGAATTGCTCAGAATGATCCTTTGAAATGCGGTTGCCCTGTGATTGTGACTAAGTAAAGACCTTGCTTTTATCTTTCTGGCTTTTGATAAAAATGCTAGCTGTCAGTTGCTAGTAATACTACCAAGTTTTTTGTATCTCAGATTCCCACCCTGCCGTGCTAGTTTGTAATTAAGGAAGCTTTTATTTCTTTATAAACAACACGAATTTGGTTTTTGCAGAAAGTCATTAATGTTTTGAATCTCATTTATATTTTAGACTTTGTAAGTTATCTTATATTTGATATCTTCAGTGTGTCGGAATTTTTATCCCCAACAGGGCGATATGCTTTCATGCTTCTAGAAGGATAGAAATGGTCAAAGTTTATGTATAAATATTTCGTTTTGAGTCGGAATTTTATCTTGTTGAGCATGTAAGTAAGTGCAGATTGTATCATTTATTAAAAACATTAAAACTGTTGCCAATATTATGTCTTTCTCTGACAATCCTGAATATTCTCTTTCTCAAAGAAACTAGCTTTTTACTGCTTATAATTATGCACAAAACTGCTCTTGAAGTTGGCAGGAGGAAGAAGGGGCTGGCCCTAGATCCTACTGCACACGGGACACTTTCATACGGCTTGCCTAGATATTCGTTTGACACCATTCAGATGCTCGCCACGAGTTGTTCATATTGCTCCTGACAATTCCCTGTTCTAGAGCGGTTTTTTGTTTCACCCAATAATACGTTTTTAAAATTTCACCTTTGATGGAAATGAAAGACTACAAATACAAAAGTACTTCAGCTATTTTGGTTACAAAGTCCGGTTTTGTCACCGGCATGTAAAGAAGAGAAAAAAGTAGATTTTAGTTTTGGAATGAGGCACATTTGGAGACCTGTATCCAATAAACAAAGCCAATTTTGCTTCATGGCAGATGGAAACTATCCATGTTTTCCAGATTCGTTTTCCAGGGCTTTCTTCAAACTAGGATCAATTAATCCTCCATCCTCGGTGACAATTGTTTCTTAATGAAAATGAATCATTTTTCCCTCTCTGAAAAGATCTTGGCCCCACAGCTAGAGTCCCCTGTAAAATGTATTATGGTATTCTGTACCATTAGATAGAAAGATTAGCTATAGTGTTAGTAAATAGATAGCAAAGATTTCCTCGAGCTCCGTCGCGAGAAAATATCTTTCAATAATTCAGTCTTTAGTATAAAAAGCTATTCTATTAAAATATTTTTCTTAAAGATATTTGTGAGCAAGCTCGTTTAGAATACTTTACTTCTGTTACGGTAATATCACATGCTTTCTCCGAGAAATTTTTTATGTCTCTATTATGGATACTCCACTCGTTAAATGTTGTGCAAAATAGACGTTATAATTACAATATTGTCTGCAGAACGTCCACAAAACAAATAATTTGAAAAAAAATTTTTACTTTTGCATGCATCTACGCTCTAGCCAAGGTAATTAAGTTTCACCAGAACATTTAACTTTTCTACATATATTTTTAACGATTTCTACCCTAGGCGACTACGGTGAACAGGGTTCACATTGAATAATTGTTATCCTAGATAAGAATTCTAAATTTTCTGTATTGATAAGCTACTTTTTAATTTAAGTTGCTATGAGGCACCCAAGGCCTGACTTCGCCAGAGAAGTTTACACCGTATCAATTTCGATAAAGATAATTTGAATTGAAACAATTAAATATGTTTGCTAAATCTTCTATAAATCTCAAAGGATCAGCATACACGCTTTGGATGAATCCTCCCCATTTGTTGCACCATTTTACTGACGACACTCTTCTACCTGCTTCTTGTGACGTTCCAAAGCAAGAATTCGAACCCAGTCCTCTTCATTCCCCAGGAGTATCTAACCGTTAATACAGCTGAGAATGCATAGCAAGTGCCAAGCCACATGAGAGCAATTAAAAAGTTTTTCCCGATCACTTTGAGGTCTCTCGGGAGCAAATAAGCGCTGAAGAAAACGGTCAAGCGAAAGAGATGCAACGACACGAACAGGTATACTGCAGTTGCGAGCATGAAGTTCAGGAGTGGGTAATTGGGTAAGTAAACTAAAATCTTCTTTGCGTCTCCAATCATGTATATGTGAATCTGTGATAAATACGTTTCTAGTGTTATCTTACCAAGCCATGTAAGCAAGTTCAAGTGATATGTCCGAATGGCTGGGTAAAGATTTCGCAACCAGATGTAAACAATCACTGGAATGCATGACGTATATGGATGGATTTTGATGTACGTGTGTCGATCGAGAAGCAGAATGTAATAGAACCAGATTACAACAATCGCTATGGCAATGCCAGTTATTATAATTCGGATTGCTTCTTTTAGTTTTTGTTTGTTTCGATCATCTTCTTTTTTATCAAGGAATTTCATAAACCTTTCGTAATAAGGGTAGTTATAAGCAACAAGCATGCCAATGAGAGTTGCCCAATGATCCAGCCTAGAAAATAAGCAATCGTTAATGGCTGCACTCTTAGAACCGCAAAGTAGGCCAGTGTGCTTGAAAATGCAAAAGTATAAGAATCAACCTATTGCTGTCCGTAAAGTAGGTCAGTGTGCTTGAAAATGCAAATATTTGAGGGTGGATGCTTATTTTACAAAAATTACTTTAGGGTGGGAGCTTTTTCGAGAGGGGACTTATTAAAAGGTGAGGGCTTTTTCGAAGACTTGCGGGTAAAAAGCTTCGTTCCAGGTAACTTGTAAGGCAAAAGGCAATGTACATTTGGGTGGTTGCAAAAATGTTTCTACTTTGAGTCATTCAGTACGTGATTACGAATTAAATCTAATTGCTGGAGGAAATTTAGACACTGGCGACGATGTTGATTCCAAGTAGAAAAATATCCCAGAACTTCAATATGGGGCTAAAATTCTTTTGTTTCTTACCCAGGATTTCCCTTGGGTGAAGATTACTTATTGAAACAGATCAAAGTGTCTAGGGTTGGAGCCCCTGATATGAATAAATTCCAACTTAGTGTGAGGAGGTAGAGTTGCCAGACTCCGGTAATTCTAGGCATTGGAAACATGAGATGTGGTCACATGGAGAGGAAGGCCCATGTTATTGCCGGATAAGCAAATTTTATCAGTGTCCTAAAAACTACCTTTGGAAGCTTGATAAATAGTAACAAATAGTGACAATTTTAGTGACAAATAGTAAATAGTCAATGATTCTAATTCCTTAGAGAAATTGTATAGTTCTTTTTACCTCCCCCCTCGATACCTGTTTCTATTGCTGCTTTGTGAGATCGAAGCTAATGGATTGTCCAATATTGACCATTTTCCCCGGGGATGACACTACCAAGGGGTATTATGAGGCATGACCCTGATGGCTAACTACGTTTTCCCATGGGGTATTTTTCTCTAGAGAACTTCACTATCCAAAAAGCTATACATTTTGATAGCTTTGAAGACATAATTGATAACTCACGTTGATCTATAAATCCAGTAATCCAGGTTTCCTTTAACATCCAAAATGAAGCGAAGGGGAATAAAGATCTTTGCTGAAGCACCAGGAATTTCGAATATCAATGAATTTATTACTACATAAATAAGAAACTTGGCTGCCATGAAGTATCGATTCTAAAAGAAAACATTTCAGAGTAATCATCCTTAATAAAGATTTCTGATGTCAAATATTTATTTCTTCTGATACTCACAAAACTTGATGAAGTTGCTTAGAGGATCACCTTCAAGTTTAGAAGGGCTTAGAAGTTTAAACAGAGAGGATTTGGTAAAAATCAGTTCTCAGTTTTTTTAAATACATTCCTAATATCGGGAAATGTTAGAAATTTTTTCTGAAAGACAATTTTCATGGAATAGTTAATTTCTAAAAATTTTCCTCCGACTTATAAGTATTGGTTATCGTATCAGAGAGGAAATTAGCAGATCCGACACCTACATAACCATTCGTCAAAAATAGACAATATTGTACATTATTAAGTAACACGCTTTGGTTTAAAGAGCGAGGAGCTCCGGATTTCTCAGAGTGGAAAACTAGGAGTTGCAAGTTAGAATAGCAGGGCCATAATTTTGAAGAAAATTTTAAGTGGGCTGAAATTTTGAATGTACTTTGGTTTGGCGAAAATTTTTTTGTCAAGTCAAGTGCCTTTTTCTGTTTTCTATGGCCCTTGTTCAGTGTGCTTTGAAGACATCTAAAAGTTACAGTTTTGAAGTGAAAAATACTTTCTCTGACTTTCTAGAAAAATATATTCAAAAGAATTTTTGTCATCAAAATTACTGGGAGGGTGCCTTAGCCCCCCCCAGACCCCCCGGAAAATACGGTCCTGAATAGTCCCGTTTTATACACCAAAGAATGTCTGTCCAACACTGTCTTTGTGCGGCATTAATCGCACATGACAGAACGGTATACATTGTTTGCCATATCGTAAGTAACTTTCCCAGTCAAGAAAAGAAGAATTGAGTTTGGACCTACCTTATTATACTTGTGGAGAACGACAAGAACCGCCCATACTGATAGGAACCAGTAAGTATGCATAGCACATACGTAATATCGAACAAATTCGTGATTGGTTACTGCCATTACTATAGCAACCAAGAAATTAAGCCGAAACATCATCTTTAGCAGACGGAAAACAGAGTAGTCTTGTTTGATCCAGAAATAACTGAGGTTTCCTGGAAAATAAAACAACGTTATCGTGTTTGTCACCAGCTTTATGTGCGATTGTGTCTGTTATAAACGAAAACTTTTGGGCGATCAAACTTTCGGATAGAAATTTGTCCGATACTTTATTTGTCCGTAATCCATTTTTTCTGAAAGTTTTGAAGTCTAAGAAAATATGGAATCAGAAATAAATGCATTTGATATTACTCTTCCTTTTTCTTCTGAACTTTAATACTACAATATGGCATAAAAACATACGATGCAAAAATATGTTTTAGTCATTCATACATATCGTTTCTGACTTTCGTTTTCCGAAAGAATTTTTCGTGGTTTGCATTCATAACCACATTCAATCACAACTAGCAGCGCGTGTTTCAATATTTTTTGGAAATGTCGATATTTGATTGCTTCTCGGAGAATTTTTTGACTGCTTGCTGTGCTGAACTGGATATAACAATTTATTCAGTGGTTCGGAATCATGACTAAAATAGATTGCCAATCTGATAAGAAAAATCTTCAAGAAAAATGATCTATGACGCTTGGCATTGATTTTGATAAAATTTTATCTACTGTTTTATTTCAGTCTTATTGTAGTAACGTATGAAATTTGAAGATGCTTTTTAGATATTTGTTGGAAAAACTAAACTTTTCGCCCCGATTACTCGGGGTCCATCACCGAAAAATAGTGACCGACCTCCTTTTTAGCTGCAAACTGAAACGCAAAATGTTGTATAATGTTTTTTTAGCTAAATATGTATATTGTGTCAATATAGAAGTTCTCTGGTTAAAATAGGCCTACTCACCAAACCCTGTCATCCACACATATGCCCCAATGTAGCATCGAATTGAATTGAACACTTCTTGAGCATCAAAGTAATGATACCATACAAATTGCACCTAAAATATTGATAATGATAAATTTTTTATTACAGTTTAGTCTGTAAGAAAAGTACTACTCATATAGAATCAAAAAACGACTTTAGAAGTGATGTCTGTGTTTCTAAGTCAATCGATTAGAGGTTGGGTAGTACCTAATGTTCGCCATATTTTGAATATGTCGCATTATGGCGTTCATCGATGCTCCTTTTTAAGATAATCAATAATTTCTGCAAATAGTTTTATTGCAGAGGGTCGAAAACTGACAAGTAAATTGCTCGACAATATTCATCCCCCAAATAGCAAAATACATTGTCTGACAAATACATTTTTCTGCTGTCTTTCCACCGTATATTTTCCCGTTGGGTTTGTGGTTTCTGGTTTCACCAGCTTAAAAGTTTTTTTATTTTAGAGATGCCTTAGAGGCAATATTTTCAGCATATTACAGGTAGTGTTTTCTTTATCCTATCCCCTTCATCACAAACAGGCACTGCTAGTCCTGTTTCCAAAACAAGGCAGTGGCCATACATGACAGTAGCATATATTAAATACGTCCAAGCAGGGGTGCAGTGCGAGCTAAACATTTCTGGGGGCTAAAGATCGATTTCAATCAAAAAATTTTCCGAAATTTTCAAATTTTTCGATTTTCGATGGCTGGGACTGTAATGTGTTGTTTGCTGCTCCGGGTCACTGCGCCCCTGTACCCAATCATACCTGCATCCAACCCTTCCATTCTTCTGTCTGATCACGGTTAATCAATTTATCTGGATTTTCCTTTATAGAAAAGATAACTGATGCGATGAGCAAAATTGCAAACACGAAGATAAAAGTGTCCCTTGAGTACTGTTTGTCAACTTTGGGCCTAGAAGAAAACGGTAAGCTTTCATAAATATTTAATTTTTTTTATGTGGGAGGTAAAATGAATGGCTTAGCTACAATTTTTACCATTTCTATTTTCACTAAGTACATGAACAGAGGTGGCAATAACAGTGTCACGTCATATCCACCTTTCTAGCGTCTGTGTTGCTTTAATTGTTTTCTTTTTATCTATTGAATGGTGTTTTCTTGCTGGTGATTAACATCCATTCACGAAAAGACTGCCCTAGTCCAAAAGCTAATATTTAAATTGATTGCAAGAGATGAATGCAAGAGATACTCTGAAATGCAATTTAAGACAATCTAAAAGGCGAGGTCGCAAAAAATTTCTGCTCGCTACGCTCGCAAGGGGCTTCGCCGTTCAGTTTTGCTGCAAGGCCTCCGAAGCCTCTCGACGATCCTGTCAGTAAGATCAACGTGCTGAACTATTTGAATTAATGAGGGTATCTCATTGCTCAAAACTTTACTTCTATAAAATCAAAGAAAGTATCCTCAGGTACTCGAAATTCGAAGCGATGATTGACTAACGAGAACATACTCTTTGATAAACAAAATCAATTGCGTCAAAATGCCACACCCAGAAATTGATACATCTTAGACCACGCCCTATTTTGTCGGCAAATTGGTGACTGGCACCCAGGGGCGTAACTTGGCCAATAGGTTTGGGGGGGTGAAAAGGCTTTCTGCTCTGCAAAACTGAGTGGTGCCCTGCAGACCTCATAGCAACGGTTTGTCTATAGGTTACTAGTGAAAGCTTTACCACTGTACACTGGTCTTTACCAAGGACAAACTTCTGAGCAATAAAAACAAACTTGAAACTTCATTGCCTATGAAATATCTATTTCTCTACGTGAGCGTATTTTTTTTTCATTCATTTCATTTAATGTTGGTTTGCAAAATACAAGCTAATAAACAGCTAATGAGGGGGGATGCATGATGTAGACAGCGCAACGAAATTTAGCCCAGGGGGACTAAGAATCAAGCTTAGTGAGGTAGGAGGACCCACCATGGTTGGGTCCGACGTGAAGAAAATTTTTGAAATTATACCTTGTAAAAGGGCTAAAAAGCATCTTCCAGACAAAAATTAGCAAAATACAATTGTGCTAAAAGAACTGATTGTTTATTGAAAATATTATTGTTTATTGGGAAAAATAGGGAGGGGGAATATCATGCTAAAACTCTAGTATTAAACGTTGGGGAAGGAAAGAAACGGTAACCTTTCGTTTCAGATTGCACATAGTTGTGAATGACAGAGGAAGATTTTGTTTTGATTTGGGGAATTTTTTTTCCTGAACAGAAATGTGCAGTTTCTTGTATCAAGAAGGCCATGTTTACACATCCAAAATTAAAACATTGCAATGATACAGAAAATGATTTACTGAATTAATGCAAACAAAAGAAAATGATAAAAATATACGTAAAAAAGTTAGCAATTAGATGAAACAAAATTGGTATCTCAACGATTTATTATGTTTTTTAGTTCATGCACTGTTAAAAAGTAATATATAAAATGATAAAAAATTCTTTTCTTGACCAAAGTGGGGGCTTTCAGCTCTCTATTCCCCCCAGTGGCGCCCTATCTTTCATGAAAATAATTTACAACTTAAATTAATTTTCATGGACTCAATCTTGCCCTCATAAACATATGCATCCATCATTGCATCCATTTGCTATGACTTTCGGTAAGAAATGCTTTCGCTTTGCAAATAACGGAGCTTTTCCTTACATACCTGTTCAGTTCTCTAAAATGCAATGTCAGGAAGGGAGGTTCATAAAAAATACGATATTTCCATTTCAAAATTCCTAAACGGCCCTTTACGAACTTCAGAGGTGGCGTTTCTGCGTGTCAATAAAGCTCTTCCTGACGCCCTGCGAAATCTTCGATTGCCCTGCGAAATCGCCTATTTTTTGGATTGGGGGGTGTCACACCCCCCCACACCCCTCCGGTATTTTCGCCTCTGCTGGCAAAAAGTGCAAAAATACAACTTATGTGTTACCTTCCCCGTTAAATTTTTTAAGATAATTTTTAATTCACAATTACATCATTTCCATAAAAGGGCCCATTCATAAGGTAAAATTAAACCAAACACCATCAGAGAATCAATTCTTTCAGTCGATTACTAATGGTCTCCAAATAAGTATTAGAATAAGATTCTTTTGTATCGGGTAAACGTACCATAAATGAAGATAATCACACAGCCAGAAATAAAACATTATGAACCCAAAGATACACATTTTGGAGATGAATTGTGTGAATGGAGGCTGCTCTTCGTGCGTTGCTTGAAAAAACGAGACCACCTTTTGTAAATTTGTTTGCTTTGTTTCGTCTATTGTATCTTCATCTAACAGCGTCTCTGTTTAAAGCAAGTTATCAAAGTTACAGATAAAAATAAATGGTTCAGAATTTTAGGTCACAATTCGTTGGGCTTCTAGAAGAATCTAGTTTTTTAAGGAACGTTTGATAAATGCATGAGGTTATTTTGCAGCATTTCATTTCTCATTCGAGCCGTTTTAGTGCATTCTTTTTAAAAATGTTTCACTGGAACAAGAAAATTTGGCAAGCGATGTAGCTTTGTTTCTTGTGGTTGCAGAATTAGTTTAAATTTTAGCTACCTTTCTGAGAGAATATGCAAAAAGATCTAAAAATTTTCTGACTGTTCCTATTCAATTAAAACTAGTGCAAACATTCCCAATCCAACAGCAAATTTGCTCGAACCAATAACAAAATAAGACAATTTTTGCATCAGGATTGTCTAAGTCATAAATTATCTATAATTTTCCTTCGATTATCAGATGATTGCAAAATGTTGAAAAGTTGCAATTAAAAACCTGAAAGATATTCTTTGGCTTTTTCTTTGGACTCGGTAACCTTCTCTGGACGGGGGTTTTTCTCCTTATTTGGTCCATTACCTTCAATGTCAGTATCATCTTTGACGCAGTTATTGCCCAGGTCTTTTTTCGAGTTGAATAGTTTGACCAATTTTAAAATTTGGAAGACCAGGAACAGAGATATGCACGATAACCAAAAACAGAAAAGAGCTTTCTGGTGAATTGTTACCGGAATTGATGGTTGAAGCCTAGAACAAAAAAACTTTTGTAAAATTTCAAAGAACTTTTTATTATTACGTTGTTTGTTTAAAATTTTGTAGGCCAATATATAGCCTTTATAGCCACAATTATATGAAAAATGCAACACAATTGTAACAATGAAATTAAATCTATAATCAAAGTCAACATGGCAAAACATGAAGAAGTGTGTCTTCGCAAATCTTAATTCCTACGTCATCGAAGTCCTTCTTCAAAAATTCAATGTCAATCGTCTTTGTGACGTTTCCAACTTCAATGCTTGTGTACAAAAGGTAACCCATTTTTTTCTTGTTCAAGTACTCCTGTCAGGTCATACATAAATCGACAAATTTAAATTCACCATTTATATTTGTAATATATTGTCAGATGGAAATTTGTTCGTGTGTTTACCTTTTAGGATCAATATTGATCGGTACTGTAAACATTTTTCTTATGCATAGAGGGTCACAATATGCAATAAATAAGTATAGACCATTCTATGCTGAAATGTGGCATTTATCTTAGGCCTGGAGGGGCTTATACGTGTAACCCCTATCGTCTCGTGTAACTTTTGGCATATACCTTTCTGATGTTTTTAGACATCTTGTGCAACATTAGTATAAGAAAAACTTAAGAACCATCTTGAAAATATTTTTGTGCCAAACTTTTTGACCGTAAAGTAGCACCTATGAAAGGACTCTTGCTATTATTTTTTGGCAATTTTTGTGCAATTGCAGGATTTGTTCACTAATCCACTGTAAATGATATCAAGGATCAGAACCCCTGTAAAAAATTGTCTCTTGAATCTCAAATTGTCGTTCAAGCAAGAGACTCTTGGATTTAATGTTCTTGGAAAATTTTTTGGTAATACACCAATTCAATTCAGGTCTCGTTTTGAAAAATGCTTCAGCCTTCTAGCTAACAGGTTTTTTGAATTTAGGTTCAGATCAACGAGCAGAATTTTTGTCTACATCCAAATTTTATGATGCTGGTGCTGGCGATGCTATTTTTATGAGGACACAAAGTTAACATGAACTTATTAGCGCCTACGGGTGAACAGTTTCAACGGGAATAATTTTTGCAGTTAAATCTTAAATAAGTTTCAGACTTTATATTGTGATAAAATCTACAATATAAGTACAAACAATCTGCATAAGTGTATCCGGACTAAAGTAATGTGGTTAGTTCTTTTTGGGCTCAATACAGTCCTCTCGTGGAGTATTTTCAAAAATGAGATCTGAAATTGTGTTTGTAGATAATGAATTCATATTTCTATACAGGACCCTGATGTTCTGTGATTCTATGATAAATTTGACGTCTGTCGTTTTGCAATTGATCACAATAGTCATCACTCGAGCTCTTCAAATTTGTAACTGGTAATGCAGTATTTTTATACACCATTTAAGGTATTGGTTTATTCAGTAGAAAGTATTTCTCTATTGCTATCCTCCACAGTGCGATTTAGAGGGTGTACTAGCTATAAAAGCCGAGCTTGGACAATATTGTAAAGCAATCTCAATATGGCTTTGAAAAAAGCAAACATATAAAAAGACATACTTAAGCTATTCCTCTGAAATTCTTCAATATAAAATATCATCACGTAAATCGAACACTCTAAGCTAGGAAATACATATACCCAGTTGTGCATCGAATATGGCCAATCAGAAACGCGAGCACGTGATAATCTTATTCGTTTGCTGAGATTTCAACAAATATATTTTATCCTTACCTGCCATACGAATGCACAAAGTTCAGATAGATATTGTGCACCCTGTAATGCATCTGTCCTCCATCTTTTGAGATTCCACCTCCCATTTTATGACCTCTTCTGGATTTAAACAGCTAGCACAGTTCATGAAATTATTCACAATTAGCCAATAACATCTGCAAAATAACACATATATTTATCGATAGAATACAGCGCAGCCTCTTTCGAATAATCCTCCGTACACTGGTCTTAACCAAACGCTGCTAGGCCAGTAAAAGTCCGAAAAGACCTTTCTTGCATCGCTCCATCGAGATATATCGCTTATATCGCCTCGCTTATCAGTAGGCTGCTCATGTTTTTGCATGCTATCTTTGCAGCACTATCAGCTCCGCAGCGGTACTTGCTCGTCTTTAATAGCGCGTGACACGATGACTTTTAAGCTTTGCCTCAATGCCAGCACCTGCTCCAAAAGCCATAAGCCGATTGCTATTCAGGAAGGGTTGATGATCCAACAGTCTTAGTTGCTTCAAACTGCAAGGTTGGTGGCTAGGTCGCTTTTACGCCTTCATTTACTTCAAACCAAATCGCTGAACAATGGATTGCAGGCTGATCATGATTTCTTCTGATATGGCCTCGAGAGGTCGCAACGAATCACTTTTTTATCTGTTTCAAAAGCGATACGGTTTGACTCGTATCTTTCAGTAAAAGGACAAAAAATTGCTACGGTTAACCCCATATGTTTTGCTACGGAAAGCCAATCCGTCTCAAAACTTATCCGTAGTAGTAGTGTAAATGGGGCCTCCTGCTTTAAGGTCTTTGTATCGTTACATGAAGTACTTAGCTTTTTAGCCCATACTAGGATACTCTCAGACCCTAAACGCGCATCACTTGCTAATCTGCATGGTAAGTTATGCTACGCTCTGTCCAGTTCATGAGGACGTATGTGGTCTCTACTTTGATTCCAAGGTTTTATGATTTGCCATGAATCAAGGAATATTTTGGTTTGTTATGCCAGAGATGACATGGGAAACGGGTGACCCCCCTCTCGTGCAATCTGTGCGAAGTTGCGTTCTGAGAAATCCTTCACTCTTGTATGATATGTTGCATTAATTGCTTCATTCTTCTGATTCGAAAGAGGTTTCAGAAGTAAGCCGAATTTCTCAAGAGGAAGACCATGTCGTTTTCATAATTCTTTAATTTTCTGCTAAATTCTACTTACACTTGTTTCGCGACTCTACTTCTTTCATCATTTACCCGCTTGTAACAGTCTATGTAGAGCTTAAGTACGAAACAACTGATAAATTTTTCTTTCAGTGCAAAATCTTGTGGATACTCGTACATGGTAGACTAGCCTTCATATTTATCAACCATAATCTTATATAGATTGAAATAGATACAGTGGAACTGACGACGGACTAAGCAATAAACAAATTATTAATGCCTCATCCCAAAATATATTCCTCTGAATTCAAAGATAGAAGCAATTTCCCAACAAAAAACTCTAGTCCCGCATTTAACTGTTTTATTAAGGTTTCATCGTTGCAAAAAGTGTTCAAATCTTAGATATACCAACCAAACCCTTCTTCGCAGATTTAGCAGAATACAAAAATACCACTACTCACCCTGTTTATGCATTCCTATAAGAAAAACTCAGTTTCTTCACACTGACAATCATGTTTCCTTTACTCATTAAGGACTCCTTCTCAAGAGATTCGAAACTCTGTAGGCATAAAATGCGCTTTAGCTTCATTGATTCCAATGAATTTAAACTTGCACATCTCGTGCATTCATTCCAGTTGACCAAGAACATCAGTGCGCAGTTTCCCGAGAGGCCAAGGTGTTATTAGAATTTTTCTTTCACATCTGATTCTATGAGTTGTTTTTATTTAAAAAAGAGTAAATATTGGTTCTACATTAAACAAGGAGCCAGGAGCGGGGAACTGGGGCAACCGCTTCTCTTGCCTTTCTGTACGAGGGACATATGAACAAAAATGCCCTGAACTTGAAAATACATTTGAGATTATTCCGAAGGGCAATTCACCCTTTCAAACAGCGTACGAAATATTAATGAAGATAAAAGGATTTGAAGGAATATTTCGATAAAAGATAGGATTTCAACCAGAGATATATGAGGTTTTTTGGTGTGATTTGCCCTCGGATTGACTTTCTCATGCATAATGGAAATTGCAATAAATATTTGATTGTAGTGCTTTTTAAATTGATTTCACTAATGTTTTATTTCCATCTATTATTTAACATTTCCTACAGCAGATCGAAATGAAAATATCAATTACAAAAAAGCTTCGATCGCTTGCCTTTCAACAGCAATAAAAAATTAAGTTTTAGGAACCGTCTACTTTTATAGCAATAACTATAAAATTATTAGATCTATGAAATCTATGAAACTAGGGAAAAATTTTGAATTTCCCGTTCATTCATAGGCAAAGGCAGACTACATCCTCCCTCAATCGACACCTATTGTCTCTTTTGGCTTTCAAAAAAAAGAAATCCTCTTACACTTTCCCGTTTTATTACGCCTAAATTAAACAAGATAAAATACATCCAGAATAATAGTCTATAAATCTTCAAGTCATTTTTTACAACCAATTTCTTGCTATCAATGCAACGCTCCAAACTCCTCGGAAAATCGTCTTTAAAATTTCGCCAGCTTTCATCTTTATCTTGTAACCATGTTTGGCTAAACGTTCAAAACCGAACGCAGCCCTTTAAGTGCATGCCAAGCCACATGAGAGCAATTAAAAAGTTTTTCCCGATCACTTTAAGGTCCCTCGGGAGCAAATACGCGCTGGAGAAAATGGTCAAGCGAAAGAGATGCAACGACACGAACAGGTATACTGCAGTTGCGAGCATGAAGTTCAGGAGCGGGTTATTGGGTAAGTAAACTAAAATCTTCTTTAAATATACTAGATTGCGTGCGGTACAATATGATGCTATAATAGCGTAATCAATGTATGTAAATTGTACCAGGAAAATTTTTTTTAAAAATAAATAACAATTTTTAAATAAATATCTTGTTATTTATTTGAAAAAAAATTTTTCCTGGTACAATTCAGTTACATTGATTACGTTATTATAAAATCTTCTTGGTCTCCAATCATTCAAATGCAATTTTGACTCGTGTTATTAAAATGATATTTTCTAATCTGTGCCGATGCTAAATCTACGGCATGGAGCGAAAGGCTATGCTAGCCTCATCTGGATGTCAGTTTGGTTTTGCAATATATTCAAAGGCAATCAATAATGGTATCAGATCATTAAGTTTTCAAGGGCCTAAAATCTGGAATTCACGCCCGGAATCAATAAAGACAGCACAAAATACTGGACAATTTAAAAATTTGATCAAAACTTGGTTTCTTGAAAACAAATGCGCATGCTTATGTGAAAACAACTGTCTTATGCAATCCTTGAAATTGCTTCATGTTAGTCTTAAACGGTGTATATTCAGTATCGTAGAAACTAACATTAAATAATCTACAATACAAATACCAAAGTGTCTTAAGAAATCTGTCAGTCAAAATTGGCCAATCAGTAAGCGTTTTGCCACCCACAATAGTTGACTGAGGGATGGCTAAAAGCCACTCTAATATCTATCTATTGCTTTTAAACTTAAAGAAATATAAGAATTACATCAAAGAGTATTTTCGTTCTGAGACAAAATTCAAAATTGAATATAATCTTTACAAAATGTTGAAGGCGTTTAGTACAACTGTCATGAAGCCTATTGACTAAGATCGACGAAACAGCTGACTCAGAGAGTGAAAAAAAGTGTACACAGAATTAAGCTTACAGTGCTAAATGAAGTTTTGAAATGCCCCAAGAATTTTCAAGAGAAACAAAAATATTTGTATCATTCGAAAATTTTAATCAAAAGTAACATTTTTGGCTACATGTAGAAAATAAGCTCGAGCATATTAACAGACAACATCAATTGGTGTTTGGCATTCAGTTTTGAAAGAAGGTGTCCAACTGTCACTTTGGTTCTTGAAATGACATTCAATCCAATCAGTGTTTACTTCTTCTTTCGTCGCTCCTCTATAGTGACCATGTTGCCAAGAGCTCTGCAAAATTAAGCATGGTAATCTCAGGCCTAATTCCTAAGATAACACAAATTTGATTCTTTCACTTACCATTAGAATACCAAGTAAAAGAACTTTTTATATTAACTTCTATTTTCTTAAGTAAAGTTTCAAAACCTAACACTTTCCTTTGTTTACAACTCGATGTAGCACTTCAATTTAGGACAAAAGGTATTGTGATAAACACAAAAAAGAATGCGTTGTAAGAAGTCTTGGGCCCTTTTACGATGCAGGCAAAATTAATTATTCAAAATGTTCATCAAATTAATTTGTTTATATCTTGGGGTATGAGACACTCATTTGTCAAAGGCAATTGATGGACAGCAAAGTGACTCATGTCATCAGTCAAATCCATTATTGGCCAATCAATAAGCGTGTGAGTTGTATCACGCTTACTGATTGGCCAATTGACGGTTGACATGTGACTTAAGCCAATTTAGTATCTGCCAATTACCTTTAACACCTACAAGGGCACATACATACACTAACCGCCAAATCCTGAAATTATTTTTGGGTATCACAAATAAAGTGAATTTAGATGCAATTTAACTTACTTGTCGATATCTTCAGTATCTTGAATATTTAACATCAACTGCCCAGCATTGAGGTAGACTTTGTTATTGGACTGAGAAATCTATAAAAAAATGAACAATGCTAAGAATAAAACTGCAATGGCATATTCTACCAATGAACTTCTTTACAGACTTAATTACTGACTCTGACTGACTGCAAAGTTATTAATAACCTATAACATAACAAATAAATTATCACAAATTAATGGACAGAAATGAACAGTAGTGCTTTTTTTTCATTGTAATACCATAATCTGCGACAATAGCTACCAGTGTAAATAACTGATGCTGTTGAATACAAAATAAATATTAAAATAAATACTAATATTAAATTCAAATCAATTTTTGCATTTTAAAGCTTACCACATGTGCCACTCTTTGTGCTGCCCTGATTTTTCGTAGTTTAAGGTATCCTGGGTTTTCTTTCACTGCCTTGCCAATGTGCGACATGGTTAAGGGAAAAATTAAGAACACTAGGAACCTTGAAACCTGTTAGTTAAAAATCCAATAGACCTGAAAAACTAAACCTGGCATAAGTGGATTTGAAAGAATCAAGCACAGCTATCCTGACAATTGTATACATACTATGACAAAGAATGAAACATATTATAAACAAGAACTAACAGAGAATTTATCAAAATAGCCGCTAAGAAGTACAAGTGTTGATCGGTAGCATACATAGGTGACTAATAACATTTACAAAGTGATATGCGGTTTGAAAAGGATATCAAAACAGCAGCTTTAGCTTCACCTTCAGCCTGTACAACTTTTTGCTGCCTTTCCTGGATGGCTCTTTCAACTAGGAAGGCTGCTCTTTGAGCTTCCTGTTGCGCTGCACATCAAACAAAATATAACAATTCCAGATGCGAGAAAATATTTACAGGTCTTTGACTGTTAGCCAGTATGGAATCTTTAATTAATTATCAATGAAATAAATCAGGCCCTCGAATGAGCAAAAGTTTAGTGCTTGGTTAATCAAGCTCCTCCATTCAGTTAAGCATTTGATCAAGCTCTTCTATGATTTTCATCTTTTGATCATATTTGCTTAAATGTATGCAGTCAACACAGATGGAAAATTGCATTTGTGATCTGAACATTACTTGGGACTTGCAAAGCCCATGTAAACTTTGCGATATCAACAAAGAGTATGAATAATCTTACTGTTGTTTTACAGAGATATACAGAAGACATTGACTAAATATTAATATAAAGTTAATTTGCAAATTTACAAATCAAAGCGAGAAGTTATGTAATGATCGGCTAGGAGCTCAAACGATCAAGCCCATAAATTTTCTGAGGCAAGTGTGGAGGTGCTCGTGCTTGATTGAGCACCTCTCATTTCAGGGGCTGAAATAATTGGGATAAATAGGAATCACTTACCAACTTGTTTTGACTCAACGGCTGCTGTATACTCTCTTCCAAAACTAAGGTCAGTCTACAATAAAGACATGGTCAACAGGTTGAGCCAAAGAGGCAAGTATATACTAAGCTTCATAACTGACATCACATTCAACATGAAATATTACTAGGTTTATACGTGTTACATTCACTTTGAACAATATTTTTTCAAAATTTCAATTTTTCTTAACTTAACTGTGTCAATATACAGGTTATGGATTCAGGTATTGAAAAACACAGCTTGGTAATAAATTGGATAACTTGGAAACAAAGAGGATATTTTTGAATTTCAATTTCAACATCTTCAACCCAACTGAATTTTATCACAAATTAAATATCAGATTTACAAATTCAGTGAGACATTCCAGTTACAAATCCACAGGTGACAAAACCAGTTTGACATAATCAGTATCAAGACATTCCAGTGCATCCAGAAACATACAGGCTATCTGAATTGATCTTAACAGTACGTATCATATAAAAAGTCGTGGTTTGTTTCATAATCAATAGAGACAAACAGAAAAAGAAGGGTCACCACATACAATTGAAACATCATCAAGGATGATGTCAAAATCTCTAGCTCTGTCTGTCAATTGTCTTCGCATCAGTAAACTGACCTGTAGGGTGATTAGAAAGATGCTGAGTCTCACAGTGTGCAATGGGCTTTGAGAAACAATATGATCATGACAGAAATGAAATGAAAATTGCAGAAATGACATTCAATTAGGTGATATATCACAGCCTTTTCTTGCAGGGGATTCTGATGATTATGAAAATTTATGTATTTTACAACTTTTAAGATCATTTCCCCAAACTATTAAATTTTTTTAAATATTATTTCTTTTGTGAAAATCAAGCAATGAAAGAATAATACCCATATTTGGTAAACGCAAAGTATATGCTGTTTACCAAAAATTATCTCATTACCAAAGGGTAAGGGTAGCTAAATATCGGAGAGATGTTACCCTTGCCGTAATATATACCTGGTTTAATAGGTTTCACTCTAAAAAGCAAGTCATATTGTAAGCAAATATGATGGGTTTTTATGATGTGAAACTAAATATCAAACTTGGCTGACATTCAATAATTGGTCTGAGCATTTTGAGAAAGAGCAGATGAACACAAAATAAGACATAGGATTAGCCAAATTCTACTATTCGTAATTCTGATTACTTGAATCATATTTAGCCTGTGCTTTTCAAAAGAAATTGTTAATCATTTAAAAATATATTGGAATAGCATGAAACTCACTTCCTGTCGCATGGTAATCAACTGTGAAGCATTGAACTGTGCAACAACTGATTTCAAAACCTATAAAAAAAGGTTGGATTAAAAATAATTTGTGAAAACTATGTAATCAACTTATACTTTTCTGAACTAAAAACAACAGTGAGTAAGAAAATATGGTGTGTTAAAGCTGATTTTCATTTTCTCTCTAAATTAATCAAACATAGTTATTTGATGTTTTGTCACTGAAGGAAGTTCAAAATTTATTTGTATTTTGTATATCACAACTAATTGTTGTTTCAAATATCACTTCTTCATTACAAAGATAAGGACTAACCAAAATAAAACAGAAATACAAAAAACCCATCAAACCTCATTGCAAATTGATGGAAGAACTCTCTCATCATAGTCTGTGCCAAGTCTTTGGTACATAACGGGCAGGTTTTCTGCAACTGGACGGGCTAAAACTCGAAGGCTAATGTTGACCATTTGTAAATCTAGAAGAAAATTGATGAATGCAAGAAGGTGAATTTGTGACAAATCAACAAAGTTTCTATAAACCTCCACATAAACAAATGTACTTACAAAAAAGCGAATAACATAAGCAATTGAAGAAATTTGTTGTTGTTGCCACAGTTTTGGTAATTTGACATGGAATTATTATAAATCTCAAACTGTAAAGAGAGGATTCTTGATTAAAAAAGAAAAATAGCCAAAATGAATTTTAACAAACCTTTGCTACCAGTTGGAGAGCTGATTCTTCTTGGTCTAGATCTGATATCATAAATGATGGGCCATTGAAACCATGGTATCCTGTTATCAAGAAAGTAAGAATTCATAGCACCTTCACAAAATAACAAATAAAAATCTAAATTGGAGCTTGTATTGAAGAATCATCAAAATCTAGCATTTTTTCCACAAACAAATGCTAAATAAAAAAAGAAAAAGTGAAATTAAATAACTTTATTATGAATACGAAACAATAAAATATGCAAAAATAATTATAAGAGGTAATACATTAATGATGTCATACAAGATCATCTAAAATTTGTCTAAAGTAATCTTTCTGACGACAAAAAGTAAAAACTTATGTTTCTTTCTTCCACTGAACATGGTTTACTTATTATTATAGCAAAAAAAAATTTCTTTAGCAAATCAAATATAATAAGGTTTGGCAAGTGACCAACTTTCTTTGTAGATTTCCCCATCCTTTTTTAAAATAATGCCATTGTTGTCATTTTTATGCTGTTTTAAGGCAGCATTTGAATTTTTTTCAGAAAGCTTATTTGCCACTCTATACACAGTCTGATAACTTGCAGGGACATGGCTTTTTACTCCGGGGTTTAAGCTGATAAACTGGGTATCTCCTTCCCCTAGACTTCCACCATAAAAAGTATTTAATTCAGTCTCAACCTCATCCTTTCTTGAGGATTTTATCAATTTTACTGATTTGCAAAATACATTATTGCTGTATTTTGTTTTAAAAAAGGTGAAATACCTACACCCTCCTTCTTTTATCAGTCTTTCATCAATTTATGCCCTAATGCAAAATACATTATTGTTATAGTTTGTTTTAAAAAAGGCAATTTACCTAAAGTGGATTCCTTCAGCATAAACACCTGGTTGTACGCCACCAATACGACTAAAAATTATGGCCCTATGACCACCGTCAACTAAAACAGAAAGAACATTGATATATAAAATATAAAAAGAAAACAACTTGATCAAACTACAAAAGAATTAGTGCTGCTTAAAAGCTCTTGCACAACTGCATGCTTTGTGGTGGTTGTTTGGGAAATTGACAATGTTTTGTATGTTTATGCAGTAAGAGATTAGGCCGGTCTTTTGAATTATAGTCGCAAAGCGTGCTGATTGCGCAAGAGCTTTTAATGGTATTTATCTATCCCTAAAATTCAATGATTCACAGCCTCAACATTTTTAAAAATAATCAGATGCTTGCTCACTAGAACCTTGACCACAACAACAACATCATTCCATAACAGGAAAGAAAATGACAAAACTGCATTGGGTAAAGTTCATGTAAAGTTTGCAAATTGGAAGTTACAGTGAAATATAACAGCCTGACAAATAATTTCCACCAAAGATTTCCAGCATTTTTATTAGGAAGTTTATGATAATTTGAGGCCTTTCTTCTTAGAGAACATGATACTAAAATTTCTTGAAAAAAACACAATGATGAGCTGAGGCAAATGCTGCCAAACATTTAATTTTGCCAAACTGTCAACAAACTCATAAACTGCTGCTAGCTACATTAGATATAGCAAAGATCAGATGCCAATTTTTATTTAACTGTCCAGGAAAGGCCGGTATAACATATGCAATCATTATGTGACCAAACCCCTATTTCTTAAGCAATTTAATGATTCATTGGATATTATGCATTGGTATACATTAAAATTCACAGAAAGAGCTTTGTGCTGCACCACTTTACCATTTCACCAAAATTACAGTTTACACCACATGCTGGCAGATGCTTTTCGGAACAAATAATGTAACTCTACCCTAAAGATTTAGGGATTTGCTAGATGGAATACACCCTAATGTGCAGCTGTGCCCCGGTCTGCAGAGTATGGCACTTTAAGATGAGATCTCCGGTGTGCACGTGCAAAAAGCCTGGTGTGCCGGTGTGCACCACCAAAAATGTCTGGTTTGCTGGTGTGCACCGACTATTTTCCCCTGTTGGGGTTGAAATTCATGAATTTGCATTTTACTGTAAAAATGCGTGTGAAGTAAACTGTTGAAGATAGCGCAAGTTTTTATTTGTATATTTGCCAAGTAAGATTCATGATATTTCAAATTGTTTATACACAACTGTGCTTGTTTTTATCAGCTGACATTTTCTATGGGACCACACCAAGCCACACCAATCTAAGTTGACACTCACAAAAATACCCGGTGTGCAACAGGTTTTGCACAAATATGTCTCCGGTGTGCACATGCCATACTTTGCAGACTGGGCTGTGCCCGAGCCTAATCTAGAAAATACACACTGTGGAAACAATTTTATCAGCACTGAAACTGTATAAATTTTTCAACATCCTAAACATTAATTTGGTGCAAGTTTTCATCTTGTCAATCAAGAACTATATATGATGTGCAGACAGAAGACTCTACAAGTACAAATGTGAGGTATATCAAGTAGATCTTCGAAAAGTTATGTATTATGAATATGGAAGATTCTTGTTATTAAGCCTTAATTTTTTTGTATATATTTGAAATAATTGAGAAAACTTTCTTTGCTATTCATATGGGGGCGCTTAAAGAAAGAAAAAACTTTGTATCTGCCCATTCGATTCGATCCTACAAAATAATATGCAAACACAGATATAAGTGTCTATCTAGGAAATGACGGCAATCAAATGAAAAAGTTTTCCTGAAAAAATCGAAACATCTGCTAATTGTTCTAGATTTTTTGTTCTCTTACATCAAGTAAGCTGTTTTCTTGTCGTGCAAAATTGACGTTAGGCCTTGAACGTGTGTTCTGCGGCCTGTAAATGATTACATAATAGTGATGCAATGTGTAATTGATTTACCTGTATATATCGATTCTTTAATACCATAACCTATTGCTCCTGCTCCAATTAAAAGTTTGAGACCTAAACCAACGCCTTTTGGCGCTCCACTGCCAAATCTTTTCGCGAAGTCTCCCAGCTGCTGAGCCATGTTGAAAATGTGGTTCACGTGCCTCGTGTGTGTGTGTGTGCGAGACCTAGAAACGAGTATGACGCAAGGACGAGTAACAGGGAAAAGTAGAGGGGTCAGATAGGTAATATTATATTAAAAGCTAAAATAATACATACAATTTATTATAAGTTCAACAACGTTACTGCCAGACATATGAAAAGAGCAAATAATGAGCTGTTAGCACCGTATGCCCAAATTAACGTGCAGAAAGATTAACCCAAGTAAATGCTTTTAAAGCATAAGATGATAATACGAAATTCAAAGAATTGAAATAAGAAAACATTAGTAGGATAAAAGTATGTTAATATCGTTTTTAAAGAAATACTGTACCCATGGAATTTATCTTTTTTCTGTGAGATATTTTAATTTCAAGACATACTGTTTAACCCACAATTTAGATAGTTGGTGCTTTAGTAAATACCTATGTAATTAAAAATAGCTCACAGAATAAGGATAAATTCTATCAAAGTTCTCTAGATATGGTATAACTTTAAAACTTGCTTTTAGTATTTTGCGTTAAAAAACTGTTGTGTTTTTACCACTATGAAGGGTGCGTTCACTCAAGGGGGCGTTTAAATGAAAGGTACGCTTTACTCGTAGCCTCACTTAGGTGCACACACGATCAAGAGATTGAACAAGAAATTGAACTCAAAAGGGTGGAAAATAGAAACATTAACAAAGTAAAGTCAGGTAAGTGAAGATAATTGTTAGATTCTAGTGAATGCCTTGTACTTAAAGGTGCAAGGAACAAAGCTCATTTTAACTCTTCTTTGAAAGAAGAAGTTTCCCCCCAACAAGATCAACATCAAAATTTTTCCCAGTTTTTTAAAAGCAAACACCCCTGACTGAGCAGAGCTAAGGGGCTTGGGGTCTGGGCCCCTTGTAAATGCTAAAAGTGGCTCACTTAAAGTAGCTATATTTTGTTGTTGTTACGATAATTTTTTGCGAGGGCCCTCTTGTACTTTTTGTAGCACCATACCCTCTGAACCGAATCAATGCTTTGCATTGTAACTAAAAGTGTATCAATTGCAGCCAAAAGGGCACAAAATTTCCCTATGATCTATCGTGATAATGGGATTTATCACAATTAGATTTAGTTATTAAATATAGAAAGTAATAATCAGTTGCCTGGTGGTTTGGAGCAGATAGGCAGAGTAGCCAGGGTGCATTTCTCCTCAACTGTACGCCGAAGGTCCACTGAGGCATTTATTTAGGCACGCCAAAAATATGAGCAGTTAGTAAACTGTAAATATTGTACACCAGACAAAGAAAGCTGATAATAGAGAAAACTGTGGTGTATGAGTCTTTATTTTATTCTTTTTCATGTTAACTCTGTACTTCATGTTTAGCATGCCAATTAACAAAAATTTTAAGTATCCCAAAAAAAATTTATTTGTTTGCATGACAAACGAGGAAAAAACCTGAGTGTATGCCAAAAGTCTTTTAGCCAAAGTACATGGAATGCACCCTGGCAGAGTAGAAGGCACCAAAAAACTTTAAGTCATTTGCCAAAACCAAAAGCAATTGATCTTAGTCAGTTAATTAAATCCTGCCTGTCTGCCAGTTTTTTTAAAGTATTGCAGATACAAACACCTTCCTGACTTGATATCATTAACTACCAACAATCAGTAGCTACTCTCTTTATCCTCCTTCCTTCCAGTTAACCTGGCTCCCAATTTGTAGCTTTAAGCAGATGATTCATCTAAGCAAGCAACACAAACCGGAGCCTGCAAATAAAGATATCAAAACTATTAAATGTTAGTTGATTTTATGTGATCCTTGGTGTCTTTTCAGTTTTCTGTTGGGCTCTTTCTATGTGTATTGTTCTTCAATGTTTAAAGTGGATATTTTTTATCTTGTAAATATTCTTTAAGGCAGAGTTTTCTATTTTGAATTTCTGTCATTTTTTATTTACTAAGAAACAGTATCATAATAATGTGAGGTGCTTTTTTGGTAGCCATTGCAATTGCCAGAAATCATGGCTTCAAGGGGGAAAAGTGAGACAGACAAATTAAAACACAACTTAGAAGAACAACTTGACAGACTCATGGCTCAGTTGTCAGATTTAGAAGAATGCAAGTAAGCATGCAGATCATAGCAATCAAAATGTGTTTGGAAATGTGCCAAGCATACTACTTTGATAGCTGCATCAAATGTTTTTTGCTTGTTTTCCTATATATTTTGGTCAGTTTGAATTTTTGATAAGATTTCAATGCACACCATGAATCTTCAATCTTTCATAGTGTTTTGGTATTCCAGAATTTTTTTAATGAAAAATGTTCACATTGAAAAGCATCTATTTACATCAATTTGGCATGAAATAGCAGAATCATAGCATGCTTATCAGAGTTTATACTCTGACAAGTGTCGGATGAAGTACTTTGTGTGACATGTTTCCCCCTTTTTATGCTAATTCAAACTTTTTTAACGCCCTGATAATGACCGAATGTAAGTTGAAAATTTATACCAGGTGTGAATAGAAAGATCAATTGAAAAAATTTTGCTGTGCTAAAAACTTATTTGACATGATGAAAGTATGGAGTTTCAGTATATTTGATGAAAATCAAGATTTTAAATCTAGGAGATTCAATTTATTCAATTGTTCTTTCATCTAGTGTTTTTCTTTTGTGTAGCCTTTTTTTCATTTCGTCTGGCTTTTTATGTTTCAGAGATGATCTAGATGAAGAAGAATATGAAGAAACAAAGACGGAAACTTTGGAACAACTGAAAGAGTTTGAAAATACATTGAAAAAGATGATTGCTGGGGATATGACACTAGTGGATCATTTGAATAACATGCAACTGGTGAGTAATTATTACTAGTACAACCCAAGTTTCATCTAAATGGTAATTCGTAGTACCAACACTCCACCCTCTAGCAACAGTATCAAGGTGTGCCAAACCAATAAACATGCTAATACCTTTGATTCAGAACAGGCATGCTCTCCTTGACGCTAGACAAGTTCACAAAAATGTACAATTTTATTCAATGGAGGGGAACATACTGAAAATAGAGCAACCTTACTGTCTGAAATGCCTACCAAAAATCTTCATTGAAATTTTCTATAATTTCAGTAGCAGATCCCTCACACCCTTAAAACAAATATAGAATAAAAAAGCCTCAGAACTTAAAAATTTGCAATAGTATAGGTATTGCATATTGCAATGTTCATGTGATGTGATTCTGTTGTGATGGCTTTTATCATGAACCACTCATAGTCACTATGTTACCTATTAATTGAATTAAATACATAAATTCATGAATGAAAAGCACATATTACCAAAGAAATTCACACCAAAAGTTCATGATTCAATGTGAGAATTAATTTAGATGCCAGCCGTAGCATTTAGGGCTTTCTTGTGTATTTTTATATTCAAACCCTTTGTTGCATGCCATGTTTGGTGAAATAGTTGTTACCTTACAAATTTGACCTTGTTTAATGTGGTTTTGAAATGCAAGTGCCATTTTGTTGTGGGATCTCAGATGACCTACTGTTCTTTCCCACTATGCGTGGCAGAGAAAATGTACTGTTTGTTTGATTCAGTGATCATTAGAAATAATGAAATTATTCTCTATTCTTTAACATTTATTGCTTTAGGAAATTTAATGGAAAAATATTGATTTATAATATAAAGCCAGAAATCAATGCTGAATTCCAGTTTCTCCTTCAAAACCATTACCAGTTACTAATAAATTATTAGAACATATTTTCTGCTAAGTTAAAAATAAAGTGGAAACAAAGCCACAGGTTAACAATCGAAGAGTTGAAATAATTAAAAGTATGGTGAAAGCAGACGGACAAAGCTAGTGATAGTTTGTTAGTTGTATGCCCTATTTTGGAGGCCAATTATAGAGGGTCTAAAAGCTGGAAAACGATGCAAAAATCAAGCAATCCGGAATCAGTGCTGCGTGTCTAAAGAAATATTTGTCATTTTTGGTGTTTGAAGGTGTCATTTTTAGCTTTTTTTTCTAAATCCGGTTCACCAAGACAATCTTAGGAGTGCACACCCCCGTCGTTTTGGTATCCAAGTACCCCCCTCCCCCTGGGATTGCAATGTCACATGACATCAGAAATGTTTATACCTAAAACCATCAAACAACCATTGCCTGTAAAGGATATGTGGATAAAGAAATGATTTTTTACAACATGGCTCGTTGTACGGTTTCAAGCTGATTTTGGAGGGCCAAGCCCTCGTCAGAATGAATAACTATTCAAGTCTATTGTGATGGAAACCTTTATCGTTTGTTTTAATGATATTCCAACTAATCAATAAAGGGTCAGTTTAAAACAGAAATAGGTAATTCGTCACTTTTTTGTCTATACCTAGCCCATTTTTATTACATGTTCTTATTTCACATTTTTCAGGCAATCCAAGCAGCTATAAGCGAAGCATTCAAAACACCCGAAGTCATAAAATTGTTTGCAAAGAAGCAGCCTGGGCAGCTGAGGCAAAGGCTATCTGATGTATGTATGAATACTTTTAATAGGCTATGATACATTGAAAGCAAAGAACACCGTGATAGGCCTAGCCTGCGCTGCAGACCCAAGGCGCAGGCTGTAATAGGCCGAAATAACAAAAACGACCACAAATAGAGTAAGGATAACAGGCTAACCCTTCAGGACTAAAAAGCCTTCGGTATCATCTCAATCAATCTCAATCGATTTTGCCAGCTTACGTTGTTTCCAATCTGCCAGAAACCTAATAATTATGATGCCTTGTTACTTGTAAAATGACTTCTGAATAGCAGAAACGACAAGGGCACTAGAGGGAGGAATAAGAACCTTGTTTGTGACACATCTTTTGTACTATAACAGAAAGTAAACATATATAAATCCTTGCAAAGTTCGTAGATTGCTCTCACGAAGGGTGCCTCCAATCTCCCAACCCTCGTGTACCGTGAATTGTAGACAGTTGTTTTATTTTATTTTAGTTGCAACGTGACCAAAATCTCGGCAAAATCTCGCAAGATGCATATAGTCAACAGGCTGTAGAGATTTTAGCTGCTTTACGAAAACTTGGCGAATCAGTAAGTTGCATTTCCTTTCAAGGCTAGCCAAAAAAATATCAGTAAAATATTTCTGTGAGAATCCATCCAGCTGTTTTAAAAGTAAGGTTTTAGAAATAAATATGTTTTGGAAATAAATGATAAAAAGTAATACGTCCTTTAAAAATGTTGTAGAAATTGGTAAAAAAGAAAATGAATCCGTGTTGTATTAGAAGATTTTTCAGCCCTGGAATATTCTTTGGTAATAATGGTTGTAGTGACGTCATTCTTAAAATTCGTACGATGCAGGTTGCGTTAGGTTCAACAAATAGCTGGTGTGCAAAGCAAAATTTTCTTTTCATAAGCAGAAGAAATCTTTCCCTACAAGAAATTTCTTACTTTTTGTCAAAGAAAGTTTTGAAAATTTGGCTAGTAAGGGGGTTCTATTTTTGAGTTTGACAAAAATCTGCCGACACTCTGAAACCTATATCCACTTTGGTGACTTTTAACTGAGCACGTGATATCTAATTGCATCAATTAAAAAAGGACCAATTAATTTGTTAACTATATAGCTAGTAAACGAAAATTGGGGTTATGTCAACAATTGATTGGTTGCTAGTAACTTGAACCCTGGAGCATTCGTATCAATAAAAATGATGTTTGCAATCGACTTTGAGCTTGATTTTGGAAGTGCTTCAAAATTGAGATTCAAAAAATTTGTCAAACTCTTTTTTTCTTGTCACCCAGGGCTACCTTATTCATCACTTCTAATTTTCTTTCTCCTTTATTCCTAGCCTTCCACTTTTCTTTTATTTTTTCCACTTGAAATTTCCACAAAGAATTTCGCATGTTAGGAAATTGTGCTTGTTAACTTTAAAGAGTTCCTTTTGAATCTTGAATTTATAAAAGCGTCTGTTGTGTTTTGAAAATCACAGGCAAGTATTTTCAGTTTATCTGTTATTGATAGCTGACAATTTCTTTCCATCCATGTTGATGTATTTGCAACTCATCTCGGTTGGTTTTCAGTTAACTTCAAAAGAACTCGATTTCCTGCAAAGAAATACGAGCCAGGCATTACAGAGTTTCGAAAAGGTCACGGAGGAGTCAGGTACATGATCAAACTTTTAAATCTTCTTCATGATAAAAGATTGTTTGAATTCGCTCAGCATATAGAAAACTTTTTTCCACAAGCGTGTGGTAACAGATGACTTCATTCGAGCTCTTCTTATACGCAATTTTCATTCTTTTTCGTCTAAAAAGATTGTTTGAATTCTTTCGACTTGTAGAATTCTTTTTGAACAAGCATGTTGAAACAAATTTAGGTCTTAGGACGGATTTAGGTCTTCTCCAATTCAGTAGTTTAGGCTTATATATTGTCGATTTTAAATTTTTTTCAATCCAGGATTTTTTGCAATTCTTCTTTAATTGAAACTTTAGCGCAATAGAGGTGTCTTTAATCTTTCACAAATAAATTAATCCAGGTTAAAAATGCAAAGCATCCAACAACTTGTTATTTTTGGCTCATACTTGTTAAGCTTTCCTTCTTGTTATAATACTGAATGAACAATTTAATGTCGCAAAATTGTTCAAACAAAACATTGAAATGCTTAATTGTCTAATTTATGTATTTAGGTTCAGGAAAGAATATGCTTGCTGTCGCTGGATCACAGGTGGAAAATGCAGAGAACTAGCAAAAGATAAAAACTTCACCAGAAATGTCACACCATTTGAATGATGGGAAAAGTATTATTATTTATGATCAATGCAATGCATTAAATGAATGATTTGTATGCTTGATTTGTAATTGGTAATTTGCATAAGTAATGCTATCCTCTTTTTGTAAAAGTAACATAGCTTTGTACACTAATATTTTCAACTACTAGACTCGATCTTCTTCCATCCCTACACCTCTCATTCTCTCGCTTTTCTTCGCTTTTTCCTTTGTCACTTATTGCATCCTTTTAATGTTTAGATGTTAATATGTAGCCTAATGCGTTCCCAGTATTATGTACTAGGCAAAGAAATATTTTGGTTATTACATACGGAATGAAATAGCTATTGCCCACCTGAAGTTTGGCAACCGTTTGTCACATGGATAAAAGTCTTTTTCTTCTTAGATTCTCTGCACCTAAGAAGTATTGCGAAGAAATAACGTTAATGAAATTGCTGGCTTTAATAGGATATTTGACACCCTAGGAAAGTAACGGCTTATGGAAAATTATTAAGCAATTTATAAACTCGATGTCTCGCCAAAATTTCACTTTCCAGCGACAATAAAGAGTGCAAAAAACAGAATATGCACTTTTGTATAATTTTACGATATTAGTTTATGACATATATTAAACTTCTGATGGCTTTCAATGCACTAGCAATAATTCGTTAAAAATGGTGCATTGACAAACCCGAAAGAGTGACGTATGTTTGTGATTTTGGAATTGGTACGATGTATTGGAAATGCCAATCAAAGCTATTCTTACACTATAAAAAACATTTTCGAATATTTTCATTGCATTAACAACAGCTGGTTGTGATGTTTGATGGATAATTGCAAAGATATACAGCTTATTTGACCTGTGTATTGTAGTATTTGATTGGTTTTTTTGTTTGAAACTCGCACTTGAGATTTTGGGAGTTTTATTTAAGTGGCAGTAGCATTTTTTGACATTTTAGTGTGAATATTTATACTGAAGATACGATTAATACAAATGTATTACTTTCAATTTCCGTCAACTACTCATTTTGAAATCAAAAACCTATTTGAAATTGTCTTGCATCAATAATCAGAAATGAAAGTTGCATTTTAATGTATGCATTTACTCACTTTTCAAGCGCAAAATTTTGCGCTTGTCAAACATCCGAAAACTTGCGATCAAATTTGTTTCTAAAGTCTTGGGTGAAGCTTGTGCGAGCTTCGTTTATCAAGTTTTGAAGCTTTTTTTTAATTTTTTTCTAATACACAATTAAATTGTGAATCCCTACCTTACCTTAAATTTGCTTTGGTTATGCAAAGGAAAGAAAGCAAAAAAAGTTAAAGTTAAAAGGGCAAATTATAGGTGCAAAGAAAGTTAAACACTAAGCCGACTATTAAATATTGACAAATTACATCGTAAAATGTATTGTAATCTGTTTGTATACAATTCCTGAGGGTGAGGTATTTAAGCAGATGTAGGCTGCTTATTCTTAATGCATTGGGAAAGGAGCAGTGTCACCATGAAGCTCATTCTGGTAATGGCAACGTGTGCCGTTGCTGCACATTTGGCGTAAGTATGATGATGCTTTTTGTACTAGGCGCTCATAACATTACTGCTGATATTCTTGTTTGATCACAGTTTTTAAATTATTGACCCCGTTTTTCGTGCAACTGAAACTTTATCTTTAACCAACCTCTCCAGCAAAAGTCCATCAGCATTTGAACGTGACGATAGTATTGAACCTCGCAACAAGAATGTATTTTCTATTCAAAGCGAGGCACATTGATCGAAATTCATACTGCTGTTTGTAAGTTATTTTATAAATTTACTTAGAAAACTTGCTAATTCCTCCTTTTTAAATGTTAAGATTTTTCCGATGTTGTTTTAAAGAGGCTGTCTACCTCTTTATAGGGTCTGTTGTGAAAAAGAATGCCGAGTCGATCTTGGTTTTCTACTCGATGGATCCGGATCTATTGGGAAATCCGGACTGGCCCAGGAAGTCCAGTTTGTCGAAAGAATCTCTTCAATGCTTGGCATCTCCAAAGATCAATCTCATGTCTCGGTTATCTTATTTGAAAGTCATGCAAGAATGGTTTTGTCTTTCCGATACGGGACTTCCCAAAATGCTCTCAGTCTGTATTTAAACCGAATTCGTTACAGAGGTAATTCTCGTTGCTTTTGTTTAACTTCTGTCTGTGTTTCTTCGCGATATTCTCAACCTTACAAAAATGTTCGTGCGATTTTGATATTATTTATTGCGTGTATATTGAAGTCATTTTCGACAATCCACTGCATTAAATTGTCGTTAGTTATATTTTCTTACTAGCTATGGCAAATTAGGCAAATCCCTCCGCAAATATCTAGCTTTTGCCAAGGGCTGCTTTCCTAAATAGCCAGGGAAAGGCTGTGCTGTAGGTTAGCAATTTCTAGAAGCCACACTCAAGACCAAACCAATGGTCACACTCAACATGATTGCATTTCTGTTATCGATTCTCTTGTGTATACGAATCTAATGGGCTGATTTTAATTGCTTATTCGTTGAGAAGCGGGTTCACATATCTCTTAACCATCTGTAGTCTGGTATATGGACTTCATTAGGCTGTATTATCTTCGTTGTTCAATCTAACCTCAACCTCAATATTTCCTCAAGCCCAAACTCCAAGTTAACCTCTATTTTGAATTTTTCAGGTGAGTATTAATAGAGCACCTTCTATACTTTCAAATCTTTAGAGAACATCTGCTCAACCTTTTCGAATACTTTTAGGTGGTGGAACAAACACAGAACATGCCCTGAGACTTGCAGCTTCAAGAATGTTTAACAGGAGATATGGGGCGAGGAGTGGGGTCCGAAAGGTGCATTTCATGATTCTGTATGCCTCTTTGCTCTTAGATGCTGTATTTGCATCCAATAAGTCCTGTAATATTATTATTCCTTCTAACATTCCATCTTTAAAAGCATCTCAAACCTATCAAATAACCCTTGTGCATATTATGTTGTTTGTTGATAAAACTTTCTCACATCGTCAAAACAATAACATTTGGCAAAGTTTCTTAAATTTTGAATTTTAGATCGCTTATTCCATTAATTTTAAATCATAAGACCTTGCCCATCGTTTTGTGTCCACAGGAAACAGCGGTGATTTAGGCTTGCTGTCACTGATGAGATTTATACGAGTTTGAATGTGTCGCTTGAGAAAGTATTTCAGAACATTTGATGATTGTATTTGTGGGAAACTTTTTTCAATTTGAATGACTCTCATTGCTTTATAACTCTAGTCTGCTTGAAAATTTCCCAACTTATCTTTAAGTTCCCTAAAAGAATAAATTACCTATGCGTTGTGTTTCTGACAGGTATTGGTCGTCTTCACAGACGGCAAAAGCTCATCTGGCTTGCAAAGGGTTGTTGCAGCGGCGGCCATATTGAAAAGAATGGGTATTACAGTCATAAGTATTGGCGTTGGTAGCAGAGTCAGTCGCCACGAATTGCATGCTATATCAACTGCTCCTGCCCAGCATCATGTCTTTACTGTTAATAGCCCTCTGTTTCTTAAAAATATTGAGAAGAAAGTCAAAAGTGAATTATGCACAAGTGAGTATGGAGTGCTTTTTTGATGCCTTTTTTGCCTCCGCGTGTATCAAGCTGTATTTTTGCTGATGGTTCGAGGAGATTTTCTTTCGGACTACTAAAATGTACATTTTTTGGTTTTTTTGGCTAGACGCGATGTGGTGATCTCTAACACTGCAAGGAGGCCGAAAGAAAAGAACTATGTAGATTTAGTTCCAGGCACACCATGCTTCTTTGGAATAACCGTCATAATTAAAACTCGTGTTTAGATATAGCGATTTTGATACGGGAGAGCTGAATGTAGATTAGGAAATTTTACTTTCCTCGAAATGATATACCTCGGTGTTTTTCTGATTTCGCACGTGTGCCTCATTATGGAATAAAAGCGAAACAATCTTTTTTCAATAAACGACTTCTGCTTGTATGTACTCCAATCCCCGTCAACAACTGCTTACCAAAGCTGCTTACATTTGTTCTTATTTTCTTAAAATCTGTTCCACATCCCACGATAGGGTTTATTATTCACTCGAACAAGGTTGCCATCGTCTCATTTTCTACATGGCTATTACCGTTTACACAACTCTTTGAATCTGTTGTTTGAAACAAACTTAAAATTTCTAGGCCACGCCCTTTTTTACTGCCAGGAAATGCCCTGTTCCCATGATTTAAGGTTGATTACACAGAAACTATTTAAAAATCATAGAACCACGTTCCAAATATACTTTGCCAGGATATTACCCCTCCCCCAGCATTTTTTTATCGAATTTAGCGAAACAAAAGATTTTTCCTGCTAAAAGTCGGGGCCCCTCCTTGGCGCCCCCCAGTCCCCCTGTGGTGCCGCCATTGACAATGATACGTTTCTGTAGTAGGGAGTAATATTCGTAATTATTTTTGTACAGCTTTTTGAGGTTTCTATGTTAAACAATCTTTATAGCTTATCTGTTAGTTTGTCAAGTTGCATAACTGACGTAAAACTTTTTCTTTTGAAAGCGTGTCCACAACCAGCCTCTTCTAAAGGTTTGTAATAGCTTCTTTTAACTTTTTGAGCTGCTAAATTCTTATAATGAAGCTATTCTAGCTATATATCACTTTTAAGATGACATTTAAGATTTTGCCAGGGTAAACAACATATTTTGGGTTGTCGCAAGGCCGTTCCCCCAAACCATGTCGGCAGGGGAAGCTTGCTATCTAGCCCATTGAATAAAGGTCAATTTATAAAAGCCTTTCTTCATCTGTTGAATTCAATGATTTTGCTGACCAGAAATGTTCTGATTATTCTAAAAAAATGTGTATTGTAGGCACAACATAATTCGGGTTGAACCTACCACAACGTAGTGCCAGCAGGCGCAGCACAGGGCAGGTGGAAGTCAAAGTATATAAACGGGAAACGGGAAGACAATCTATTTTCTTTGCTATTTAGTTTACATCCTCGTTAAACTATCTTGTAAGCTTACTAAGGACTATTATTTGAGTGAATGACGGTTAGAGCTAGTTAGGAAAAAAGTTTTCGAAGAATGTGTCTTGCGTCAAAAATATCTTTAAAAGTTGTGTCGTGTCAAACTTCGAATTTTTAAACACTTTACAGAAATCAGCAATTTCCTCTATTTTTCTGCTCAACTGTTTCGAACTTCCAATTCTTTTTAGTCTGTAACCTCGATATCGGTTTTGTATTGGACGAATCTGGCTCTATTGGGTCACGTGGCTTCAATGATGAATTGAGATTCGTCAAGAGTATATCAAAGGAGCTATCTGTATCAAGTAAAGGCTCTCACGTGTCAGTAATGACGTTTGGTACATATGCGAGGATGAGGATTCGCTTCAAAGATGCTGGAGCTGAATCGCAACAGATGTTAGAGAAGCATATTAATTCAATAAGATATCGAGGTATGAGCATAAAGAAGATATCAATTGATCTCTGAAGTGGGCATAACCTAGACACAAAATTTTTGCAGAAAGGAAGCTAATTTTATATATTAATTGAAAAACATCGATGAAAATTGAAATGCTGTCTGGACCTACTTCGTAATTTTGGATCTTCGTAATTTTGATCTCTAACTTTCTATATTCTAGTTTTCCCTTCTTATCAATTATCACAAAATTGGAAAACACCAACAATTTTTATTCGATTCTATTTCAGGAGGAGGAACAAACACTGAGGCTGCCCTGAATCTTGCTCAGAGCCAAATGTTCCATTCATCATTTGGTGCCAGGAGAGGGATTGCTAAAGTAAGATGCACTGTTTTTAAATTGACTAAGGATCAGGTGACAAGTTGTGTAGAAAAAATACTAAGCGTTTGTCTGTAATGCATTTCAAAGCTAGTTTACAAGCCGCCAGTCACAGCTTAGCTGACTAGTATTGGCAAGCTGGAAAAAATTTCAATTGCTGTCTAAGGGAACATGGTCTAGAGACATTAGCCTTTTTGTAAACACTCTATTTACCATGGGCTCAGGTTTAGAATTTACTAATGCATTTATCTTCTTCTCCCATGCTCAATGAAATCGCATAATGAAAGTGTTCGATTGCAATAAAGAAATTCATAAACCTAACAAAATAGATCATGCAATGTTATTGGCAGAGAATACTATTTCACAAAGACCAGGCCAACGTCATTTAACGTCTGATGTACATTGTGAACTGGATATATGTAGTATGAAAGTGCAAGTTTGATATCAATTAACATTTGTCACGGTAAAAACACAAGTACTCTGATGATCTTTTTATGGATGATATGTAAAGGCGACGTAGTTTTGAGCTGAATATACGGATGATTTGAAAATGATTTTCTTGATACCCGTGAATTGAGCTAGCTTTTTCAGTAGCTTACGTGACATTTTACTTTTTTGAGTTGTATTCTCGGAGTAGCTGCATCATTGGTCATAGTTACTTTGAATTCCTTCCAGGGTTCTTATTCATTAATATTTACTTACCAGCAATTCGTGTCTTGAATTTAAATGTGTTCTTATAGATGTTATTTCCTTTTTGTAATACTATCGCCAGAAAACGGTTGCAGTTGAAGAGTGAATTGTGTTATCCCTTCTAAGCTAGATAATGAGCCAACATTGACTGCTAATAAAATCGTCTATATGAAGCTAAAGCTAGCCTTGGGCACTGCGCTACATTGCTTTTACTGTTACCCATTGGAAAAGGTACCCGTAAAATGCTTATGCTCCTTCTCCAGAGTCTCGATGTGCTATGTCGGGCTTTATTTTCCATCTTTTTGTAATAAGTTTGCAGTCTTTCTTTGGAAAAGCATATTTCTTTATAATGGCTTTGAAAAAAGCAAACATTTCACAACATATTAACTAAAACCTTTTTCGTCTGACACTCCTCAGAGCATAAAACGTCCGAATAAAGGTCCGATGCAAATTATATACCCAGTTGTGGATCGAAATAGGCCAATCAGAAAAATGCAAGCACTAGACCGGTATAGTTGACCAATCAGTAAGAGAGAAAACTCTGAGGAGTATCAGACGAAAAAGCTTTTAGTTAATATGTTGTGAAATGTTTGCTTTTTTCAAAGCCATTTTCAAGTTATATACCGCCAAAAAACTGTTCATATTTCTTTATTTTGAAGGTTCTGATTGTTTTTACCGATGGCAGAAGTAAATCGGGGGTAACCAGGGTAAGAGCTGCTGCAGAGAAGTTGAAAGACGCGGGGGTGAATATGATCAGTGTCGGTGTAGGAAGACGCATCAGTACTGCCGAACTTCACGCCATGGCATCGCAGCCTACCTCAAAACATGTATTTCGTGTCCCTACTCCGTCCCTTTTGAGCAGTATTGTTAGCAGGGTCAAAACTGTTTCTTGCAGTGGTAAGTTGAGGTTTTTTAAGATAATTTTTGCGTTGAATCTGTTACTAAGATTGTGGGTTTAAGACCCACACTTGCCACCAGTTTATTGCGAGGGACCTCAACACTAGCTTATTTTATGATTGAATAGATGAGTCTTAGACCATTGATATGAATGCATATGTTTAATTTTCAGAATATTAATTTAGGACGTGGTTTGCTTTGCCTCTTTTTCCATTCATTTGAATCGATTTTGTGTTTTGTGAAAGGCAAATGCGCATCGTTATGCTTCTTTTAGCTGTTGCCTCCAGTAATCATTTAAGGGAACATCTAATTCTTGCTACAATTGCTTGGTAATTTTCAGGGCGGTTCTTAGCTTGCTTTGCCTCTTTTTGAGTTGACTTTGTGTTAAAATAGAAACAACCGAATGACTTTGTTGGATTGACACTGTTTTATATGAATAGCAGATTCGCCATGTATCCATTGTGCGATTACACTTTTCAAACTTCAACAGAATTGTTCAGGACATTGGTTTATAATTTTGTTGTTCAGGAAATTTTAAATTTTTCCGAAATATTGTAGTAAATTAACACCGATTGTAATTGTATGGTATTGCTGAAATGAAACTTGCCGGCTTACGAAATGAAATTTGCCGGCTTACATGACCTTATGGGTAATCAATGTTGTAGCATTCACGTGCCAGTATGCTGAATGTAAGTATGGCCAATGGTCTGAGTGGAGCAAGAGCTGTGGTTTGGCAATCAGGAGACGAAATGTTTTGCAAAGTGTCATCAAAACCAAAGTTGCCGTTGGAGGATGCGCAGGGGTGAGCACAAAATGTCATCTTGTCCAGGAATCAAAAGACCAAGGCTCTTGTTTAGGTTAGTTTATATGAGCTCAATGACATTTTATGGAACAATATGTTATAGAGCAAGGCTCGACTGGCTAGAAATGTGTAAACAAGGATTTACAAAATGACGAAACCTTTGGAGTTAAAAATCATGACAAAACCTAATTATTTTATCTTCATACTTTAAAAAATATATTAAAGCTAGGCATTATATTTATATATAATATACAGAATACAAAAGTAGCAATTTTTTAGTGAATTTATAAATATTTACGTAGCCAACTCTATAACCTAAAAGTAATAACGTATTCTGAGGTAATAAAACAGGGTAAAGAATTTTAATAATGGATCAACAAAAATACTATGATAAGCAGACCTTAAAACACCCATTTACAAGCAAGCAATAGCTGCCACGTTGCTAGGAGAAGAGTTTAACTATTGGTCTGACCACAGTACATGCGTACCTACAATCCCCGCCAAAAACTTTGAATATTTTTAATAACTACATCCCCCTCTTTCCTTCCAAACAGTGTCGATTCAAGTTTTATTCAATCTTGATAGGATCGTTATGATCAATGAAATCATTTCAGATAACAATGATATGTAACTCTGCATTCAGCAATTTTTTAGGAAGAAGGGGTGCTGTGTAGATATTTTTTACGGGAATCAGTTGATTATTTCAAAAGAATGTCAAGGAAAGCAGGGTGTTCCAAGGACTTTAGGCAGGGATTGTAATTTATTTTATTTTGGAAAACACATCTGTACAACAGAGCAATCAACAGTTTATGATTATACCTCTCGTTGGAGGTTAATCGATTCTTTCTGAGTTCCTGTACTTAACCTTTACTAGCCTTTGTGCAAAGCAATCTGTATCCTTTATCTCTAGTTAATTGTAGCTACGTGGAGTGCCAAGTTGGAGCATGGAGTGCCTGGAGCAAGCCATGTGGTGATGGGCATAGGAGAAGAGATGTAAAAGTTATTAGAAAAACAGAATTGAGATCGAACTGCAACGGACTGAAAACATCGTGCGATAGTATCGGAGTGTACTCACGGAGATCAACCAATTGTAAGTAACGAAAGGGGTTCCAATCTTTTTTTATTTCATTAGACATGTAGGCCTAGGTGGCCCCTCGCCACTTTTGGACTAAACATTACGTAATTAATTAAAAATACGGATATAAAAGTTCTAAAGTTGCATGATTCTCAATACATAATTCAAAGGCAAGCCCATTGAATGTTTAGTCGGACCTTCAATGGATGTAAGGAAATGATCCAACTTAACAAATGTCCGACTTATCAGGGTTATGGCTTTTGTGCTTATAAATTGTAGGAAAATCCAGATGGAATTAATCAGTCCAATTTAGTAAAAGTTTTACTTATCTGGGGGACGAATTTATGGCATTGAACTGTATATATTTGCTTATCTAATCGCCAGGTGCTGTGAAATCCTATCCAAGTTTTCCTTCATCTCTCGTTCTCTTAAATTTTGCTTTGAATGATTGTTTCTCTGATTTTTAGCTTGTTTAAGAATGTTAGCAACAGCAACAATGGTCAGCAACAGATAAGCCCAGTGTAGGCCTAACAGATAAGCCCAGTGTAGGCCTATCTTAAAGTACAATTTCCCTACTTGTCCCCAGCAAGAATTTATTAGGAGAGTTTTCTCAAGGTTGATATGAATTTCCTTCTAGGTTCTTGCGAAGCAGTCGAGTGTGACCTTTCGCAATGGAGCCAGTGGTCGGCGACGTGCGGCCATGCCACTCGCTACATTAGCTTTGTACCTCGCAAAGTCAAAATTGAACAAAAAAGTTGCGATGGTTTGCAAACGAAATGTCCAGAAGAACGAGAAGTCGTGTCACGCGAAGAGCCTTCTTGTAAGTGGTACCTTATTTTGTAAGTTACCTCTAGTTAAAGGCACTCTTTCCAATCAGTCAACTGTTCAGAGTTAACATTAGACTTTGCAGCGTGTTTATGACCGAGGAAACATTGAGACTTAGCTGATTGGCTATATTACAATAGGTCTTTTGTATAGTCCAACCAATGGGAAATTTCAATGGCCAGCGAAATGCATTGGGACTTAGTGTCTTTAATGCAGCTTAAGTACCTGTAAGCAGAAAGAACCACAAATCATTTTGCTTTCCAATGTATTATTCGCCGATGTCATTTCCATCCAGCATTGCATTTCTATAAACTCCCGCACGAAATTGCTTCGTACAAATATAATACTGTATATTCTGGTCGATAGCTGAATGCCAGATTCCGAAGCCACGGTTGAGATCATCCTTCGCTGGTTCGTCAAGTACAGTGAGACATCAGTAAGCGGACACCTTTCATCGGACGGCCTCCAAAAAACGGACAAACAATTTCGCCTTTCGAGAATCTCGTGTCCCAACGGTATCAGTTTTATAGTGATGCTACTGTGTCTAACTAGCTGGTTCCGTCAATAGAGAGTCACGTGTTTGAGTTTCATCAGTGCGTTGAAAGAAAAAGCTGCTTCTTTGCTATACTTTTCGCCAACGCTTCACCAACCCATTGATGTATAGTTGTAAAAAGGTTATAGAATGTGTAGGCATAGACTTATGCTCCTATCAGCTTCAGCACTTTGTCAGCAGTATGAGCAAGAAAGGCCCTTTGAAATCACTTAACCATGCAAGTGTTTCCAACTGAAATAAGATGGTAGCACCTTTTAGAAAATTTTGTTAAATTTTCGAGGTATAAAGGCTATAATGATTTCCTAAATAAAATGTTAGTATAAAACTAATGATATCTTTATTTTTTTCCAGGTGTCAAAACAGGTGAGATTTTTTCGAATTCCCTTAAAAATTTTCATCTTTTCAGCTACGAATATGTTGTATAGCTGTTAATAGGTTTCTGCTTCCATGGGTCAGCCTGTCCGTTTATTGTGATATGAATATCCTAATCATATTACCCAATCAGAATGTTGAACACAATGAAAGAACGTTCATCGACTTACGTATTCTAACGGGATTTTTAGGGTTTGCTACATTTGCATGCATGATTTGCAAGTCTTTTCATAAACAGTTCGGATTTGCTGGATATTTTTTGTGTGGATTTTTTAAATGTTTAGCTTAATATCTCCAGGGTCAGGAAAACATTACGGTTGCACGGCCACTGACCGGACGAAGGTCCATGAGAAACAATAAAAGCTCCTATGACACATCCAAGTCACGCCCACTTTCTATTGTTTTGTGAGGAAGGTTTGCCTTCTGAGATGTTTTTGTCTGGAGGAAGGTTAACAACTTTTCTGGACTCTTAATATCTCTATTCTTAACTGAGTTAAATCTAACATGCCCTTACTGGAAATAGGTCCTGATGAAATTTCATCTTGATAGAAAGTTAGTCGCATTTGGTTGCCCTTGTTATCGAACAATAATCATCACGCGGAGAAAATTAGAAAATAAGTATACCTAGGTGTGAAACTAAAATAGTTGTTGCCAAAACAAGACATAATTTTTCCTGATCTGATGAATCATCATATCTGATAAGAAATCGTCTTTCGTAGAAAATCTGAACTAGTTTCATGCCTTTCACATGATATTTAAGTAGTTACCATATCAAGAAAAGAAGAAGAAAACAATACATTTCTCTCTTTCTCGATTAATTATCTTGCTTTCAGTTTAGCTATCTTTCGATTGAATGCATTACTGCTGTCTCTTTTTAATGCTTATTGTATCAATAGCGGTAAAAGAGATCTTAAACACTCATTTGCCCTACTTAGAGGAAAGGTTGACATACAAGGAATTTTCACATTTCTGCAAAGTTGTCATGTTTATAATTGCAGTATCTGGAGCAACTTGTCCAGTCAAATTTGAAGCAATCGGCTGTTTCAAGGATAACATGAAAAGCCCTAGGCCCCTTCCAGAATTAATTTTAACCGAACGTGATCAGCATCATAAAGCATGGAATGGAAAGTTGATTGACTGGAACAATTGGAACACTTATATGATGAATGTGATTTGCAGATGTGCAATGAAAACCAAGTCAATGAAATATGCTTTCTTTGGCCTTCAAATGTATGGTGAGTTGATATGCATGCGTCGAAATAACCGTTACAATTATGCAGCCTCGTTTTGACAACTAGTCCAAGTTTCTTTCTGTTGCTCATATAAATGTTTTGACCCCAGGTAGGGTTAAGGTTACAAAAGAGTTCTGTTGTAGCGTCCGTAATGTGAGGCAGTAGCGAAACAGAGGCTCATGGAATAAGTCTAGGTTCAGATTAAGCACTGAAAATTAATTCTTGATTCATACTTTCTCATCTCAAGCACTGGTGTTTGATGCATTCCAGTTGATTATATGAGAAAAGAAGTTTGGTATTTCTTAAGGGATTAGACCCTGAGTAGTGGCTGATCACAAGTTTAAAGCCCAAAGTTTTCTTATTTCTAACACACCAAAGCATGGATCTATCGATGAATATTAAAAGATTTTCCTTATTCAATACATTGTATTTTCAGAATTTGAATGATAAAGGCTTATGAAATGCATTGCTGGTTTTACTCAAATTCCGAAGAATCAACAAACTGAATTCTCATAAGCAAGTTCTGGTTGCCAGGGAACCATTTTTAAGTTTCATTCTCTGTTTTAAGAAATTCAAGCAAGTGTGTATTTTATTTTGTTTGTTTTAGCTAGTATATCTGTTTAAATTGCTCAAATATCGGGTTTTGTGAGATAGACGTTCGTTTCTCCGTCTTGCACCATGAATAATGGTTTAGTAATTTTGTTTTCTTACCCATTAAGTCTTTTCATGACAAAGTCACCTAAAACGATAGCGTCATAAATTCTCAACATTTCTTCAAAGATCAAGTCATTCTTTCGGAGCAATGATACAAACTGACGGTTCCATCATTACTTTGTGTCTGTTGAGAGAGAAGTGGTTAGGAAATAAAAGATACATAATTCTGTTTTGAAAGCACTGTTTCCATGATAAGTTAACAACTGTTCATTACTCTTGTCTCTTAGGGGAGTGCTGGAGTGGACCAGAGGCTGGGGATACGTACAACATGGATGGACCACGTGACCCTGGCAATTGTGTGAAGCAAGACTTCTTGCCATGCGCAATGAGCGACAAAAGGTGCATTGGAAAGCTAGAAACAAACTTTGTTTATCGTCTTGTTTAACATAAATTGTGAATTATTCCAAAATCTATTCGATATAATTAAGTCGCACGAATTATTCCATTGTGCTGCAATTAACTATTCTTCAACAATTGCGGAATTCGCTATTCGTTCTGACTAGTCAGGTGTTTTATCTGCCATTTTCTTTGTCGCAAGATTTCCTTGGTATCAAAATTTTTGCTTCGAAAAAATCTCAAAATTTAGTGATGGTAGTTTCGAAGAGAGGTTAATGGAACTACTTTCATGAAATCACGATAGAAGTGAGTGCCTGTGTTTTACTAGAAAATAAACTTTTGTGCACCTAAATGGCATAAATTGAATGAAGCAAGAACTTCGCTGCCTCGGAAGATAACACACTAAAACTAACTCTTGAAATGTTGTTCATACATTTGAACATTTCTTCTTGGCGTACGATAATGATATGGGAAACAGCTGTCGATTGAAAATTGATAAATGCTCAAAATGCAAAGACTTGGCCTTTGTAATCAAAGTGGGTGTTGTTTTTAAAATTTCCTTTTATGGTCTCTAATGTCACAATTTGGGTTTCTAAGAAGGTCGGTTCCTAACTAAGGCAGCCTTATGTATCTTTAACTTTACCGTTGGTTTCTTGGTGACTTACATCTGCGAGACAAGTATGTTTACGAAGGAGCCGCTGTATTTTAATTCATTGTGCATATTTTAAAGAATTTTGATTATCAACATAAGAAAAATTCTTTATCATGAAGCAACAAAAATGTGCCGATCTTCAAACCTTTGAACTTAATCTTCAAAAACTTTTTATATTTTGACTGAGTGCTAATTTTTTCAGTTATCAAGTGCAAATTCAAATATTGACAAAATGGCCATGATGTAGTTAGTACTCAATGATTTCGCTCACTATTCCTAATAAATTCAAGGGAAGTTGACTCTCTCACCCGGCTCCATCAGCAATTTATGCTTTCTTTCGTGTGTACCTTTCTTTACCTTGTGTGTCTTTAAATATTACTCTGTTTGTCATAAGATATTATTGTTGCTAAAAGTGGTGGCAAGTCTTTTTATGAAGATTCTCCCAGCAAGATCATACAAAGGCCGAGAATATATATCTTTTTTTAAAAAGAAGTAATGTTTACTTCAGATTCGTCTCAACATGGCATTTGCCTGAGCATTAGTCTGATCTGAAAGCCAGAAATTTGTGAGCTCTTTTAACGCCAGCGCAGCCAAACAAAATTTTTTGAAATGCGTCCTTGTGTGCTGAGATATTCATGGCCCCCGAATCCTGCTCCCAATTAAAATTTGTGTCCACAAGATTCTCAAAAAATCAAATTTTCGGACCCTACCACTATCTTTTCTACCCTGGGTACCAGAATCACTATATAAAATAGTGAGTCTGGTACCCAGGGTATATCTTTTCTTGCTGCCATAATGAAAGAAAAGAAACTGTGACTACACACGCAAACATTTGGAAACGCCTTTCATTACTAAAACGTTCCTTAATCGACGTGACCAAAGAAAACCCACGAAGGTGTAATTGGCTTGAAAAACAACTGTCTTTTTCAAAACATTAATATTTTCATATGTTCGCATTGATAAAAGTTCTACTTCACCTATTGCTTCGTTTCTTTTGAAAAAGGTCAATTTCACAGGGAATTTCTCAAAGCGAAAAGTACCTTTGATGAACAGTCCTTACTAACAGTAACGGTAGTAACAGTAACGAAATAACAATATAGAAATAGAAGGTGATTTGCAGGTTCGTTACAATGAAGTTGATCGATAAATAGCACATGTCATGACTATCTATCAGCATTCTATAATCGTTACTTTTTGCATCCATCTTGATTTATTTTGTTTTATATCCCGTACTTTTTAGGCCATGCTCCCTTTACACCCCTGCCTTTTATACTGGTGAATGCAAACTTGCATCATTTCGCTTCGCATAGTATTTCTAATAGATTTTCTAATAGATTTCGTTTAGAAGCAGTTTTACCCAACTTACAGTGTGGCATTCTCTTCTTATTGTAGATATGGTGGTCAGGCCCCTCCCTGAAGCTTAGGGCATAACTTGCCTTTGATTTGTGTGTCAGAATTAAATTGACCCGTCCATTGGCAGCAAATCATCACGTTCTGTTTTCAAACGTGAGAGAACCCTATCAGTGAGGACTGTTCATCATAGTTCCAAATACTAGCAAATATTTATATGATAGTCTTCTGGGAGCTTTCATAACCCGCAGAGTAGTGTATTTCGCAGTTTTAGTTTTGTTTCTGTTCAAGACGAAAACAACTATGCTGTTGTCATGACACTTCCATGGTACCGACTGCGTATGAAGAAGTCCTGTGACGAAGTTATGTTCGTTAATTAATGGCTACACGGTTATTCCTTATAGGCCTGTTTGCATTTGACTTCTACCCTTAGTAGCTTAGTTAGGGTGGATTACCCAGGGACCCTAAAATTAAATGTTATTCTGTTAAAAACTCGTTTAGCATTGGAAAATGCTCCATCCCAGAAACCTTTGATTTCATCAAAATTAGTTTCCTAGAAGCCTGTCAGGCACAAAATGTAATTTTATCAATGAACTCAAACTCAATAAACTTGTGAAAAATCTAAATTTCCAGAATAGCTTGTTTGTACGATAAAATATTCACGTGTTATTAAGGGACCACAAATTTGGTGAAACGGAAGAAAAAATTTCGTTTCATTCATGTTTAGGGTGACGTCATGTATATGGCAACCGTAGGTGTGTAGCCGTAGGTTGGGAATTCCTTTTGTATTGTGAGTTGGCGTTAAACGGTTGATAGGGAAGGGCAGGTCTAGAAGCAGTCATTTCTGCAATTGGAGAAGGTGGAGAGGCACTCCTGACAAGGTAATTTAAATGCTATGTACTTATCTGTTATTTCGCCTCCATTATATTTATTGAGACTATTGCATTTGCAATTTCGTTACAATTATTGCAACATGCCTAGGTAGGCCCAAAAGCACGATGAACGGGAAACGATTTAACCTTCCAACACTATCGTAGTTAACGTAAGCAAAATTACGTTTTCACTGCTAAAGCTGTTTTGCAAATTCTTTTTATTGATATGTGGAATATGCTTGCTGAAAAATCTTGATTTTTTGGAACGTGAACGTGGAACGTTTATGCCAACGTCTATGTTTTGATTTAGTCGTAGCCCCATGTTGCGTTCAAGCTGTGAGCAGTGTTGAGTTTCCCATGTGCAATGCACAGGTAGATCAAAATGTTGTCTACAATCCGTAAAAATTGCAGACACGAGCGAGGATGATTTGAGCTGCGTTTTGTGGCCTTGCATTACTGCGATTTCGTGAAACTTTCCAATACATACCTAACGTATTTAAACTTACTTTTAATTGTTGAAGTTTTAGGGTAATTGCTGGCAGTTGATGCTTTCTGGTTTGAGATATTGAGTCAGAACTTAGTCAGAATGAGGCTTCTTTGCCCAGACGCAAGAAAACCGTCCCCTTTTCATGAGATACAAATTTAAATGAAAATTATATGGAAGATCCATTCGCACAGTGCCCCATAAAAACTGAAATTCACCTTTGATGAATTATTGAAAAGTAGCATGGTTCAGTGGCGAAGCTAACCAAGAACAGGTGGTCCTGCTCAAAGGGGGTCTGGGGGCATAGCCCCCAGAAAAATCGCGTGGAGCCACGCCCTAGAGACCCTCGGAAAAGGGGGAAACGCCCTTCTGGATATGTTGAAATCAAGATTGCAGTGAAACATTTTTCACTGTCACATTTTGGAAAAAAGGGGATGAAGGTTCGGATCCTTTCAAGTTCCTCCTGCCTTACATTGAAGAAGTCAAAAGAGCATCACAAAAATTCTTTCTAAAATAAGTTAGATTTGAAAATGTTTTCATTGATTGAAAATTTTGAAATCATGGACTAAAAAGAAATTGCTTGTACAGATAGGCATATACAGTTGTAATACATACTGGAAACATAATTGATTCAAATTATTTAAAAAAGTAAAAATATTTTGTCACAACATGGATATGTCTGATGAACGGTAGATAGGGTCTTGAATCAATTTGTTTTGAATATCAGAGGAGACCCCTGACATTTTGCCAGTACAATACAATCTGAGTCACCGAGTACAAAAGCTCCCAGTAATTACCATTGTTTTCCTTTTCATCCTTTTCAAA